CTTATTTCAAAAAAGGGGACACGATAATTGTTTTAAATACAGATACGGCCAGAATTTTTGTTTAAGGCTAAAACCAGGGTCAAAATTTTTTCTCTAAAATATCTCAGACTGCCCTATCAAATCAAATGGTCCGTACCTTAGACTTTAAATCTATCTAGTGCTTACTGGCTGGGGATCATTATTCAGCAATGTTATTAATTGGCTGGGGCGTGTGGGGTTACACATATTTTCGTAGGTGAATAATATTGCTTTGGAACTTTTTTTTTCATGAGAGTGTAATAGAGTATTACTTTCTGTTGAGTGGAATTGTGAAATAGAAGTCAATACGTTCTTGCTCAATCCTTTGTCGCTTTGAAGGCGTCATGCTTGTCATCTTCCGCCTAAGCAATGTGTTACTGTAATTTGAATTTCAAAGTGCATGACTGAGTGTCGTTTTTTCGACGTACTGATCAACTCCACCGTAGCGAATCACATGACTTCAACATAATCAATAATATATTACAGTAAATACGAGCGAAAAATATCTTTATAAGTAAAGAATTGTCGCATAAAAATAAGATACACTGCCGGGAAATGGCAAAGTTCACTAAGTCTAGTCTGATTAATAATTTTACAAACAAACAAAAAAAAAAGTTCAAGCAAAGGGGGGGGGGGGGGCGTACGCCCTCTACGCCCCCCTCTGGATCCGCCACTGACAACCAGTATATTAGTTTAAAAAACATTTCTAATAAAAACAAAAAATCGTCTTAAGTAAATAAAGATACAAGCTCGCGACTTGTACTGTTTGAAATTTTTGAAAATACATCATTTTGAGAAAGTATTGATATCGAAGAAAGCTATACAGAGGATGCAAATCCGGCTGCGGCTACGGCATAGACTATTCATTAAAGAGAAGATAGATGACCTGGATACGCATATATTGTTTACCGAATAATTGTAATGATATTTTAAGATTAATATGTTGTATACTTATTAATACATTAGAGCTAGAAGTTATAATACATCTTTCAAAGTAAAGAAGTATAGTCACATAAGATCTTGTAATGGCAGGTGAAAATCAGTTTAGATCCTGATGGTGTATACTTATTTATAGATTAGAGCTAGAAGTTATAATACATCTTTTAAGTAAAGATATATAGCCACATAAAATCTTATATATATTGGCAGGTGAAAATAAGTTCAGATCCTGATGGTGTATTCTCATAATTTTTTGGAAAAAAATCCACGAAATAGTAAAGATTGATTTGATAAAGCGTTAATTTAGATATCTACCTTAGGATACAGTTTGTTTAAAATACTTAAATCTGTAAATTCTTCAAGTATCGTGAAAGAGTAAGTCGGGTACACCTTTTACATTTAGGGGTGCTTTCGTGCTTTAGTTGTACTTTTTCTCCATATAACATATGACCAAAAAGTTGATTTAGCATATCGCCAAAGATTCGATTAGTTTCAAATATTTGAAGGTTAAATAATAGTTGATTTTTAAACACTAAAACCTAATACATAGGTCGAATTCCATACCTTATTTCGGATCGACTCATTTATTTGCTTATTTTTTTTTTAACAAAGTTTTTATTCAGTTCTAATCCGGGCAAGTAATTAATTGTCCATAATCCTCCTGCCGCCTTTCAGAAAATCAAATTGCAATCTCGTAAGTTTCAAAACAGAAAAGGTGTGTTTGAAAACAAAATAACCACGTGCTTCTGTAACTGTTAATGCAATTGCAAGTCTTACTTTATTGAATTATATTTCATTGACACAATATCAAAGTCTTATTCGTGAAAAGGTACTTCAAAAAGAGATGTCGGGCGAATATAATCCCACCCACAACTACATCTCAACCCACTCCTTTAATTTTTTTTAAATCTAGATCAAACAAAAAGACTTGAAATATAAAGTTGTATTTTTTTCTTTTATCAGTGACTATTTGTATTTGGTTACCACGCATTTATAGTCTGTCGTAATAGCAGTTTGGATGTTTAACGTCCTACAAAAGAACTAAATCCCTGTTGGTGGCTGTTTTCTGCTCTTTGGTCGGGTTGTTGTCGCTTTGACACATTCCCCGTTTCCATTCTCAATTTTATTTTTAAGTCGTCGATCCCTTTGCGGATTTTTTTTTATTGAAATATATTCCAGGCACTGATCGTTCTTTTTTTAAGGGAGGATACTTTTTCTCAAACATTTTTTTCCAGACTTAAACAAAAGAAAAAAAACAACAAGCTATTTCTCAATAACGTACAGTAACTAAAAAATTATTAAGAAACGCAATAAATAATTGATTTCCCCCCTAATTTTAAATGCAAACAAAGTCTTTTGTTCACTTTCCTTCTAAACAACGAATTATTTAAATTATATACTCGAGAATTTTAAAATTAATCAATACATATATATATATAAAACTCCACAAAAGATGAATGGTTGGTGTTTTATATTGAACTTTTGAAAATTCTCCCTTACAACAAATAAGATAACAGTTGTTTGTAGTATAAAGACGTATGAATATATTTAGGATGATTAGGTTACAGTAACCATGTTTTTGTTTCTTTCAAAACACAACATCCAATAAGGGTACTCAATGATGGCATCTGAACGAAATTAACGGCATATATTTTATGATATATTTTTTTGCTATGTAGTTTATTTCGCACTTTAAAGCTGGTAACGCGTTGATATGTACACAATACAACCCTTGTTTATTTCTTTATAGTTATTAGTATCTTCTTTACATTTCAGTATATCGCAAGACGCCGTCAGAAAACAAGTTGTTATTTTGCAATTCGCCGTACAACGCCTTGCAATTCGCCATACCGTACAGTAAACAATAACTGTTTTGTTCCATATTCTTTAGAAAACATCATTTTGATAGCGAATTTCAGTAATTATGAAGTCACACTATCATAATCTAAAAATTTGTCAGGAAAAAGAATGAGACTTGAAATCGTTGAATATCTTGCCTGCGGGAGGACGGAAAGCAATCGACCTCGAAATTTTCGGGTACCAAGTGCATTTAGAGTATAACACAAAATCTTGTCTTTGTTTGCTGTACGTGTTAGCTTAAAAAAATAAAGCACTATCTATCAGAAAATCGTTTCATAAGCGATAACCTCATCAAAACGGTAGAAATGTTTAAATTAAAGGACTTCTTACCTTGTTTATTTGTTTTCCTTTATCTCCACTTCGTTGGTACTCAATATCCGGTGGCGATTATGCACAGTGGTTATTGTGTTTCGATATATATCATCCATTCATCATTACATCTTAATCAATCCATTCACATCTCTGTCATTACAGCTGAACGGACATGCTTGATCAGCTCCTGGTCATCCGAAAACTATAACAAGGCATCGTCGATTGTGAAGCACAACGACTTACTACTTCATGATCAAAGAAATCTCACTAACTGAAGAAGGTTTGGTTTTGCTCCAAAACCCATTGTAGATGTGGGAGTGTTTTGTTCTCTGGCGTCCGAAGTTACTGTATCCGTGGTGTTGGGTAATGGACCGCCATTTCACCGTCAAACGACAGTGGTCATGAACAGGCTTCCCGTAATCGTTAATTACTAAGTCCGCAACTCATCGACGTGTTTATATAACGGGCACCAAACTGATCTACTCGACCCTGAAAATAGCCATTGCGCAGTGCTGTGCTGTTAATCGACCCGAAATAATATCAAAAATAGTTCAACCAAAAAGGTCGCCTGCTGTCTGACCAATCTTGACAACAACACAGGAATAAGTAAAGCTTCTCAAATGCCCTCAAAGCACCGATTCGACCATGCAAGGACTGTATAGCCAGTCAAGGTCGTTAAACGCCCCTGTAGTAGTAGTAGGAGGACATATATCTTGGACTTTCCTTTAAAAAATAAGGAGATATGGTATGATTGCCAATGAGACAACTATCCAACAAAGTTCCGTGAAATGAAGTTAGCAATTATAGGCACCGTACGGTCTTCAACAATGCGAAAAACCCATGCCGTTTAGTCGGCTATAAAAGGCCCCGACATGAAAAATAGGAAACAATTCAATTTATATAACAAAACAATTTACGTAAAACAAATATGACAGACATGAACCAACGACAACCCCATAACTACAGGCTCCTGAATTGGGACAGGCACATAAAGAAAGTGGCGGGGTTAAACATGTTTGTGAGCGCTCAACCATCTCCTAACCTGGGACAATAGTGTTACAACACAACATAAGAACAAACTATAAAAATCAGTTAAAAAGGGTTTAACTCATCCGATCGTTACAAAGCAGTATTAACACATCCTAAAAAATCAAAAAAACACACACAAAGTACAGATCTGAGAGAAATCGCAGTTACTGACAGCTAGTTCTAAGCCAGTACCAACTAATAAAAAATCGTGTATCTAAGACTAAAATATCTATCAGTACACATCCAACATTCCAGTCGAAGAAAAACATGACCTTGTGTGAGTGAGTGAACGAATGAATGAATGAACATGATGAATGACACTACATCCATGAAATATAGTCTCAATATCTACAAAATGTAACTCTGAATAGCCTCTAACAAGACAAAATCTTATTACTATCAATCTTTGAAATATTGTCCATAAGACAAACTTACAAACCCAGGATGTAAATTATTAGATACACCTTGAGGGCGTTAGTCCGTATGGGTGTATCTAATTTACAACAAGATATTATTGTCAATGCAGAATGATAGTTTTCAATAATTTGCGGGGGGGGGTCTTTTCATCGATTTCAACATATGTTATTGAAAAGCCAATTTCATTTAACGACGTCTTGGTGTTAATACCACTACGCTATCACTTTTTGCAGACAGTTTTGAAAATGAGGATGGACGCATGTGATATTTCGATGAAAGGATTTAAAATAGTTTTAGATTTGTATAGATTTGAAAGCAACCTCACACAGGCATGCGTCTGAAAGTAATCTTCAAAACTATTGAAAGAAGAGTAGACTCGGGAGCAAATGGCATTGTATTGTACGTTTCTTTCCCCCATACTACAGGGTTCTTCACGGATTTGTTTTCCTTTGTTCTTGTTGTACCAAGTTCTGCATGTTCTGGACTACATATTCTTATAAACTAAAATATTTATTGTCAGGTATATCACAGGGACTTGTTTCTTGCGTAAGTAAAATATATATAATAATATTCTCTTTTATTATCCAGTCCGTTTTACTAGTTTTTGATAAAAAAAATCATCACACTTCTACCAACTACTGAACTAGACAACCACATATTAGAGCAAGTCCAAACAAATCCGTACCTAGGTCTTGATATATCCGATGACCTAAAGTGGACCAGCCACATAGGTAAAATCACAAGCAAGGCAAGCTGTACACTAGGTTTCCTCAGAAGAAACTTATGCCAGTGCCCCCAAGAGTGCAAAAAACTAGCCTACTTAGCCATGGTTAGATCGGTACTAGAATACAGTGCTGTCATTTGGGATCCTTTCACCATCAGAGAAATAGAAAAGATAGAAAGCATACAGAAAAGAGGTGCATGTTTCATCCTGTACGACTACCATGACTACAAATACACCAGATCCGGGATACGGTAGTTAGTTGTCAAGTTTAATATGTCATGTGACTTCCATCACGTATCCAAAATGTAGGGATCTAATGATCTACACTTCCAAAACATGTTGAGAGAACGGGTCAAAAAGTTTGATCTTATACTGCTCAAAATATTTGGAAAATTAAAATCTATTAAGTTGGTCACCCTCCCATAGTCGTACAGGAATTAAGATTACGTACTTACGGAAAATAAATTATTTGAAGACTACCCTGCAGAATGACGATTCTGAAAGTGCTTGAAACTTTAATAGAGCAGGGATACAGGCGCACCTTCTATCTGGTAAATGACGTCATAAAGGTGTGCGAAATTGACGATCTTTTCCGGTGAAAGACCTGATTCGGGAAATGACCTATCCAGGGAAACAGGATGCGTTACAAATATGCTTTCCAAGCTGTAACTACCATCTCTCCAGGAACGGAGAAAACATCAGAGGCTGACTATGTTCTACAAAGTGGTTTAGGGATTGGTGCCAGCTTTTGAACCAACAAACTACCTGCAAGAAATCAGAAACAAATGCCAAGTCAAGGCAAAAAACTTTAGATTTCCAATACACGAACATCGTAGAAAGATGAGAAACCTGAAATAGCAGATCATTCAAATTGATAGACTGCAAAATAGACATCTGAAAGAAGTCCTTTTTTCCTAAAATGATGGTGCAGTGGAACCATCTGGAAGAGAATATAGCATGCCAAAAGACAGTTGAGGGATTCACGGCTGCCCTCCAACAGTTGGACTAACCAACAAGCTCTTCTTCCAGTGTGCATATATCCGCGATCGTATCCTGCACTGTGTAATATACAGATACAGATAAGGAAGTGTCTGTATGTGTGTGTATGTTGCTGCATCTGTAGTACTATGCATACTTTGTATTCCTGCACATGTTCACTTCAGTACAAATCAAAGATAAAAATTATCTGGTAGCAGCAATACAACATTAATATTCAAAATTTTCAACACACTATACAAATCTTTATTATATATATATGGCACTGCCACTAGCTACGGTTACCTGCAAAAAGTAACACTAAGAAATAATTATTGTTACTTCTGAGACTAATTGCTGAGATGTATTTCTGGAGAGTGTTACCTGCAGTTATTGTTACCTTCAAAATATATAAAAAAAATGTTTGATTTGCGAGCAATCTGTGAAATAAATTTAAACAAATAAATTTTTGATGTAAAATCATTAACATGATTAAATGTCCAGATATATTGACCAAAGGGATGCTCATTTTTGCAATAGGGGAGTCGATTAAAACAACTCACTATTCTTAAGGAGCAAGATGTCCAATTTGTGGTTGGTGAAAAGTTTATATCTTTTCAAAATTTTAATGATAAACTTCAATGATTAAATGCAAATTTTGTTCAATTATATCATGTATAATCATGTATATAGAAGTAGTTCTTGTAGAATAGGCAAAAAAGAGATCAGGAATAAAGATTTAATTTATTTTGAATTAAAATATTCATGCATTAATGGTGGCAGAATTGTTTCCTCCAAATCGGAAGGATCCCATCCAAATCAGCTATATAAACATTTGTTGCATTTGTAAATCTACTGAACATTCATGCATTCAATCAAATCACGTTATGGAATAGCAATTTCATTTGGAGTAACAGATCAACCCTTTTTTTTCATGGAAAATGCTAAAAAAAAACCAACAGATATCGAGGAAGAAGGACATAGCAGAGTAATAATAATAATAATAATAAATTCTTTATTTAAAGAGGGTAAACTCAGTTAGTTACAATAAACTAATCTTCCCTGAGGCCCTCACATACAAATTACAATACAATCAAAAACAGATATTTACACATAGTTAATTTACAGTCAAGTAGTTCAATGTAATATATATTACTAACATGATAAGATATAAGGCTGTTCAAGATGTACATGTAGTCAAAAAATCAAATACAAATAAAAATAAAAGAATATACAAATACATTGTAGAAAACATAATCTTATCAGGACTGTGTTAAGTACTTCTTGATACTTTGTTTAAAAGTATAAGTGTTTTGAGCTTTACGCATTTTGTGTGGTAGTCCATTCCATAACACTGATCCAGAATAAACAAAAGATTTCTTAAATAGCTCAGCTTTTGGCTTAGGAACTATCAGATTACCTTGAGTGACGCCTCTCAGGGAGTAAGGATTATTATCTGATTTCAGTTTAAACTTTTGAACTAGGTACATTGGTGCTTCCATACGCATACATTTATATAGAAGTAAATATTTGTGGTATTTTATTCTATTGTCAACTGTCATCCACCCAAGTTCTTTAAATAAGGGGGCTGAGGGGGATAAAGGAACTGCATCTAGAATTAATCTTGCTGCCCTTTTTTGGAGTTTTAAAATTCTTGTGGAACTACTTAGTGTGTGGTATTGACGTGCATATATATATATGAATCTACAGTTTGCAACAGATGTCTGGAGTGGTACCATCTAAAATGTGTTGGCCTCAAAATGTCACATAAGGCTACATCCTGGAAGTGCCATCAAAATAAATACCTATATTACTTATTATGTATAAATGTTTAAATAATCACTACTATGTTCATTAAAAAAATTTCTATTCATATACATTTTTTTCAACTATGTAAATCGAAGTATACATGTCAATTACATGAAGACAGTAGACTACAAAGTATCCCATGCTAAACAATTTGCAAATGTAAAAATTTTGCGGGTATCAATCACTGCAGGTTACACTAAAAACAAGTTTATTATTTCCATGATTACTGTCAATTTCCGTATGAAATTGGTCCCTCTCTGGAAAAACATTTCGGTAATTAGTCTCTGAAGTAACAATAACTTTTTCTTATTGTTGCTTTTAGCAGGTGACCATAGCAAGTGCCTATATACATAGGTGTCGTCCCGCTATTCTAATACACCAAGGCCATTAGTCCGACACCCCATTAGTCTGTCACCCCAATAGTCCAACTCCTCATTAGTCCTACACCTCGTTAGTCCCAAACCCCAATAGTCTGACACCCCATTAGCTTTGACACCCCAATAGTCAGACACAAGTGCTACTGCAGATCATAATTGTAAATCTACTTCATAGAATTGGTAGACGTGGTATTTGAAGGAGTGTCTACTCTCCTTTCTGAGTATAAAGAATCAAATGAAAAAGACAACACTTTCCATCTGGTATGTAAGAAATACTCTGATCCTATAAATATAAGGCAATCAACAACCTAGCAGCATTTTGCTTTACTACTAAAGTATGACCTAGCTATTTCATAAAAAACACTCCGCTTAAAATTAATTTTATTGATTTATTGCTGTTTGCTTCATGTTTAGTTGCAAATATTTCATGCATGTTCAGGATGAGAAATAAATAAACAATTAATACAATAAGTAGGTCCTGAAATAGGGAATCGACCAGATCATGCAGATTAAAGGGTTTGAAATTTGGACTGCCACTGGAAAATGAGGGTATATTGGAGAGTGACAGAATTCTGACCTGACATGGCTGCGTATTTATTTGTTCTTTCTTTAACTTCTCTGCTCCAGTGTCATACATACAAAGGAGTATTGGCATGTTCCTGAGTACAGATATTAAAGAAATAAATAGTGGTGGACCTGAATTGTTTTCATGGCAAAGAACCATACTGATTTTACTCCAATAACCTTATGATTTCATTGTTTCTATGTGTCATGGCGAGGAAAATTATGAAATAATATTTATGTGATAACCCGATTTGTATTGTTATTTTTTTCCTATTGCTATATTTACCAGAGCAATTATTTTGTAAATTCATATAGTAAATTGATTCTTTACGGTAAAACACTGATAATCATTGAACCAGTTTACTCACTGTTTGAAAAAGACCGAAATTACGAGAGAATACTTAAAGACAAGTGTTCTGCCTTAACTTCATTCTTTTTTTTAAATATTTGTGCCCATATAGACCATGTAGACAAACTGGACTATATGGTGTCCTTCCTCAAATAATGTCACTACTGTCACATTTTAAAAAAAAAGTCAGAAGTAACTGAGTTAACTATTATCGCTTGAGTTATAGCAGAAGTGCCCGTCTTATTCAATCAAGCTATTTTCACATATACACACTGGATATCCCAATTTGAAATCCGTGGAGGAATCCGGATCCCTTGGAGTAATTACACTTTGTTTAGTGCAATTCGTAAGTACAATCTGGATCTGATTCTCATGTAGCATAAGCCTCAATGGGAATCGGATTCACTGTTTGTATTTTTAGAAAAATTGCTCCTTGGTATACAGATTCGCTGTCGAGTTCCTTTTTCTATTTTCTTACTACATCTCCTTTAACCTGTATCTGCAAGACAGTGTATCCAAAGATGTAATTCAACATCACTTTGTTGATGCAAAAAATAGATACAGTCTGGAGTTAAAGTTTGTTACACATCAATTACTTTATCAAAAATTCATCATGTTCATAGAGTTTTATGAAACTTTGGCACAAGCTTTTTTATGATCAAGAGTTAATGTCTGAAGCAAACTTTTGAAAATAATTTTTTTTTATTTTCAGTATTTTTCTGATAGATGGACTTAGTATTTTACAGTTAACATTTACAAACAGTCTGGGATTAAACTTTTTTGACATGATAAATTTTTTAACCTTCATGGAATGTTATGAAGCTTGAACAGAAGTCAATATTCAAGACAATGAACTAGCATCTAAAGAAAAAGTTTGTAATTTTTTTAAATCTTCATATACTGATAAATGGACTCACTTTTTAAAGGGGCATTAGCTGTCAAATTCATGTTCACCGATTTGATTCAAATTCTCATATTTGATTTATTACATACTAAAACTTATATCCAAATTACAATAAGTCTGAAATAAACAATTAACATTGCGTGGACTTGATAATATATATCAACATTTCGTGGGTATTTTAGTTTAAACTCCATCTAATTAACCATCGAGATGAACTCCGAAGACTGCCGATGGCCACATTTCCCGATATAAACATCAACATATATATAAATAGATAGTGACCTCATGTTATAGGTTTAAAACATAGGTTAATTATTGTTTTTACCTGTATAAGAATGATTTTTTGTGGATCAAATCAGTCAACCAAATGGTTCACCTTTGTTTCACTTTTAATGTTGACATTCTTTTCCTTTTAATGGCTGAACACGACTAATACATGCGTAACCAATCTCTAGCTAATGGGTTAGATTGAAGGTCATATGAATATGGATTCAATGAGGTTGAATTATTCACTTGCAAGTGAATAATTCATCAGCGAAGTTTCTTAGCTTATTTTGACAAAATTGAACTAACCTGTCTGCTAAAAGCGAATTATTATTTCACTTTCATTAATAATTGAACAAAAAAAAATCATATTTTAATTTTTTTCATATCTCGTAGCTAATGCCTCTTTTAGTCAACATTACACTTTTACACTGATAGCTGCAATCGCAGGTGAGACACAGGGTTCTGCGGAAACCCTTACAAATTTTAAGAATACATCATCTGAATCATCCTGGCCAATATTGACAAACTCACTGATTTTTAGTAGACTCCATATCTACCTTTTCTAACTACATGCATATATATAGTCAATTCAATAATATTGACCCATCAGAATACAATTGGGTTTCTGAAGCACATTTTGATGGACGAATCATAAGAGAGCTAGCTATTTCAGGAATCTATTAAAAGATATGACACAAAATATAAAACAAAGATTACCTTAATATCATAGATATTTTGATTTTTAAACCAAATGTGAAATTAAGAAAATTAGAAAAAATATACACATACATGTATGACTGCAATTAGACAGCAATACAGTAATAAACCTATAATAAGTCAATATAATGTCTTCAAAACCATTCAATAAAGACATGAATATTTACCATATGGACAATTACGCCATTTTTCCTTGGATCCTGTTCTATACATGTAGTATGCTGCATCTACCAAGTTTTACAAATATCAAAGAAAGGTGGAAAATTCAATTTTCATATGATATAATCTTTTATGAACATTTAAGGTTGATATTTGAATCATAAGAATATTTTATATTCTCACAATTCATTTATACTGAAATTAAGAAAATTATTTGTAGAAAGAATACTGTATTCACAAATTTTTCTTTTCAGATAAAGTGTCGTTTCTAATCCATCATATTACAGGGAACTAGTTCTACCTTCTGCTAGGTATTGTAATTTTTGTAATGATTTCAGATTTCAGGAAATGAATTAAAAAGAAATATTGAGGATTTGGGAAACACCATGTTTACAGTAGCAGTTTATTTCACATGTTTAATGCAGTTTATCTCATACATGTCATATGGCAGTGGTTGTGGTACCGTCACTCACATGTTAATCAGTAAGTAAAGTAAACATAGAGACATCTTACCGGTAATCATCAATAATCATGTTAATCAGTAAGTAAAGTAAACATAGAGACATCTTACCAGTAATCAACAATCATGTTAATCAGTAAGTAAAGTAAACATAGAGACATCTTACCAGTAATCAACAATCATGTTAATCAGTAAGTAAAGTAAACATAGAGACATCTTACCAGTAATCAACAATCATGTTAATCAGTAAGTAAAGTAAACATAGAGACATCTTACCAGTAATCAACAATCATGTTAATCAGTAAGTAAAGTAAACATAGAGACATCTTACCGGTAATCATCAATAATCATGTTAATCAGTAAGTAAAGTAAACATAGATACATCTTACCAGTAATTAACAATCATGTTAATCAGCAAGTAAAGTAAAAATAAGTTAATCATTAAGTAAAGTAAAAATAGATGCATCTTACCAGTAATTAACAATTGTGTTAATCAGTAAGTAACATAAAAATAAGTTAATCAGTTAGTAAAGTAAAAATAAGTTAATCATTAAGTGAAGTAAAAATAGATACATCTTACCAGTAATTGATAATCAGGTTAATTGATGCATTACAATTAGGGAAAACAAAAGAATACAGCTGATTTGCATGAGACAATTATACCTCTATTAACTGGTTATTTAAAATTGACAAAAAGAGTTAAATACAAACAGTCATCTTTTAAAGTGATGAGGGCTGTAAGGGGTCAGGTACAAAATGTTGTGCTGTGAAAGTATTTTCTTATTGAATAGAATCATATACATGCTCCTTTGGAGTCTCTTGTTCATTACTATATTGTATAGAAATTAAAATTGTGTTATTATTTATAGGTGGGAGAGCAAGAGAGTTTTATGATGCCAATGATAGATATAATGATTATAGACAGGTAAGAACTTCATTGTTTATACATTGTGGAAAAATATTAGATTGTATTTGTCCTGTATAAATTGCCAAAAATGTGACATAAACTGTGAAAAATCCTGTTATAACTTATTTGTACTGGTATATGATTTTCTGTTTCCCATCTTTAAAGCCAAACTTCTGATTTTGTAATTTAATTATATCTAACAGGGTTAAAAACACACTTAATGAAAAAAGGCAAAATACAAGAAGTTAACTTGAAAGTGACAGTGTAAATAACGTATAGACGATCATATTCTGATTATTGAACGTGAAAGTGACAGTGTAAACAACGTATAGACGATCATATTCTGATTATTGAACGTGAAAGTGACAGTGTAAATAACGTATAGACAATCATATTCTGATTATTGAACGTGAAAGTGACAGTGTAAATAACGTATAGACAATCATATTCTGATTATTGAACGTGAAAGTGACAGTGTAAATAACGTATAGACGATCATATTCTGATTATTGAACGTGAAAGTGACAGTGTAAATAACGTATAGACAATCATATTCTGATTATTGAACGTGAAAGTGACAGTGTAAATAACGTATAGACAATCATATTCTGATTATTGAACGTGAAAGTGACCGTGTAAATAACGTATAGACGATCATATTCTGATTATTGAACGTGAAAGTGACCGTGTAAATAACGTATAGACAATCATATTCTGATTATTGAACGTGAAAGTGACAGTGTGAATAACGTATAGACGATCATATTCTGATTATTGAACGTGAAAGTGACCGTGTAAATAACGTATAGACAATCATCAACGGATTATTGACTTATTTTTTCAGTTATTGTACAAACATAGAGATGCATTACAAGCAGGAAGTGGCTACCCAGATTCTTTTTATGGTCCCACTTGTTTTGGTGGTATGTATATTACAGGAATGTCATATGCTTGAAACAGCAATATCTTATTTTCTCAGTTTTCTTAGGTATGTGTATTTCAGATTGTTAAATGGATATAACATTGAAAGTAGCAGTTGGCATGAATGATAACTTTCACTTCTATTTTTATGAAAATTTATTATTGTATATACTTTTTAAAATGTTACTGGTCCAGTACCAGTTACCGTCAGAAATTCATAGTTTTTCTCAAATAAATTTTAGCCGGAAATACTTTTGGAAATATTCTTTAAAAAAGGGTTACCAAAAGTTAGGTCTAGGACCATAGATTCGTACTTTAATTCCTCTTATTTACAGTGAAAAGCAGGTTACTTGTGTGCCAATTTTTGCTTGAAACTTCATGGTTATGAGGACCAGTTACTGTCACTTATAAATCTAGTTACTAAATTATAGAAATGTCCTATTCATAAGAAAGTTATTGTCATATTTTGCTGTTTTGAGGCAAACAGAGATGGAGGTTTGTTAAATGAACCAACAATATCGTTATTCGGTCCACAAATTCCGAATCTCTCAGTCTTTCCCTCAATCTGAATGGATCTCGAATTTATATCACCTGAAATCAACTAGTTACACTGCATTGAAGGGGATCATAGAAATAGATTCTAAAATAGGTAAACCTTTTTTTATTCCTTTGATGGAAATTTATAAATTATTTTTATGTCTTTGTTATTACTTTATCTGAAAACTCTCAGTCTTCTAAAATCGAGGGCATCAAAAGTGATGATGTCATGTCCCCGCACAAACGTAGTAAAAGAATAAAAAAAACAGATTTCCAAGTCTTGATTGGATCAAACAAAACCCAAGTTTTTAAAAATGAAATAACAGTATTTTCCTAAGATAATAGCACTAAGCCTTATTTTTGCAACAACTCCATAATTGCATAAAATGCAAGGTGACGGTAACTGTTAACTGACAGTAATAGGTTCTCGTCCAGTAAAGAAATTCTTTGATCAATCTAAATAAAAGACTATTGTGGCTATTTATACAACTTTTTATATTTTAAGTCAATTATATATCTTTTATAAATATTAGTGGTAATACATATATCATATGAAAATAATGAGATGTGGTATGATTGACAATGAGACAACTATCCACCAAAGTTCAAATGAAGTGGATGTAAGCAATTATAGACAACTGTACAGCCTTCAACAATGAGAAAAAGCCATACTGTATGGTCGGCAATAAAAGGCCCCTATATGCCTTTTACATACATTTTATATGTAATCTTTGAAAGAGGTTGATTCTGAATTTTGATTTTTTTTTTGGGGCATCAACTTATTTGATATTGTTTTGCCAAAACCATTTGTTTTTTTCACAACTTTATAATATTACTCTATGAACAGGTATTCTTACATTGGGTCACTTCAGATAAATTTTACTTCTTTAGATATATACAGACAAAAAAAAAGTGTTATTGAGTAATGCTTTGGTTTCCTTTTTCTCCCTCGAATAAATCTGAAAGGAGTGAATAGCAAATTATACTGCAACAGCTATTTTTAGAAAATATTTAACATTAAAAAATCGCTGTTGAGTCACAAGACAATTCAGTATTACTTCCAATCAATTTAGTTATAAGGTATTTTTATTGAAAGAGCTTATGGATATAAACAAAGTACTTTTAAAGGAATATTTTCTATTCAGCAGTAAAAAAGTCATCACAATTTACTCGTTGGAGTAGACATTAAGATTTTAATTCTATTTTTATTCCAATCTAAAAAATATGTTCAAATATTTTATGTTTTCTCAACAGTATGAGATTGAAAACTTAATTTGTCAATTTGATTTAAGAGAATCCAAAGAATTAAAAAAACTAAATTGACAATTTTTTTCCCCACTGAATTTAAGGGTTCTATTTGTTAAGCTACAGTGGGAAATCTAGTGAACGAAAACAAAAGAAAATTCACTCTTCTTATGATAGAGTTGAGAAAGTCAATAATAAAACAATACCGGTGATGATACTGATCAACAGTTATTTCTAAATAATAATTGTACATTTTTAAGAAATTATTTGTTAAACTGTGTTATTAGAAATATACATGCAAATACACAATGTTCTATGTTCAGTATTTATCGAGATAATTGCATTAGAAGCTTGTGAAACTGAAATTTTAAAAATGCCAATGTTTGCTGCATATTGATAGAGAAAATTGGAAAAATCATGTACCGGTACATACAAAATCTAAAGATCTTTTGGGTCACCAATTTTCAGAGTGTTCGACAAAGTCCTTAGCATGTTACAATTTCCTAAAGTATCCTTATTTTTCACACCTAAGTTATCGAGCACAATCTTTGCTGCATATCAATCGATTCCTTTGGAATTTTTTCCCTGACTTTCTCTGATCTAGCTGTATATATATATACAGATAATTAGCATGTTCCAGAGAGGTATACAGCCAGTAAAAAAATTAATTGAAGTTTGTATTCCAGGAATTTATTTGCTTAGCAACATTTTAAACCAATTTTACATCAAGCTTCTATAGCCTGCTGTACTCTTTGTTTGCTCCTTAAGGAGGGAAATGGTAACATTGAATGGAAGTTTTCTTTTTATTTCAACATATTTCTATTATTACTATTTACAAGAACGTTTTCCTGTGAATACATAATTGATAGCGTCCTTGCTAAAATGGGACAAACATTGAGAAGATCTAGTTTTCAGTGTTTACAGGGGAGGTAATATTTTGTCACTAGATTTCCCACTGGCTATTGTCTAAAGAACAGTAATTATGAATTGCTGTAAAGTATTAGAATTGAGGCATTAAGGGAACTGATTGCATTTCAATATTTGCTTATGCTATACATTAACTGTATTATTAATGATCTATTTTTAACAATTTTCTGAATTCAACATACTGTACTGCTACTGCTAAAAAGGTTATCATGGACATTTTATTTTTTATTCATAGATACAATAATTAAATGATAGCAATAGTTTTGAATGTTTTTGTAGATAAATTCCATAATGTGTCAGAAGATACGCACTGGACTCCATTTCTAAATGCATCTGTGAATTACATAAGAAAGATGTATCCACAACCATGGGACCTGGTAAGCTTTCATTCATTATGAAAATACCTACCTGTGTTTTTATCGGAGGTAGACTCAGGTAGTTGTTTAGTATTTAGGATATAAGGAACCCTGTCATTTAGAATCATGTATAAGGATCCATCTATATCACTTTTTAGTCCGGTTGTACAAAACAAGCTTATATTATAGAGATTTTGGGTGGGGAAAAGCAGGTACGTAATTTGTGTAATCATCTCCTCCTGTAGTTACAACCACAATACTTTATAGAAAGATTACACACATATTGAAGTTGTACCTCTAGTATTGAACTGTTTTAGGAATTTATTTCCCACTTTCCCAGACTTTATAAAAGACTGTACCAGTTTTGTATTATCCATTTCTACTCATTCTGACCAAGATTCTTGAAACCTCACAGAGAATTTGCACACCTGTTGAAGTTTTGTACTTCCCATTAGGGATTAAATATTTTTTCCCATTTTATATATTTTGTATTTACATATTGTTAGTAGATATAAGAAGATGTGGTATGAGTGCCAATGAGACAACTCTCCATCCAAGTCAAAATTTATAAAATTAAACCATTATAGGTCAAAGTACGGTCTTCAACACGGAGCCTTGGCTCACACCGAACAGTAAGCTATAAAGGGCCCCAAAAATTACTAGTGTAAAACCATTCAAACAGGAAAACCAACAGTCTAATCTATATAAAAAACCAGAAACGAGAAACACTTATGAATAAAATTGAGAATGGAAATGGGGAATGTGTCAAAGAGACAACAACCCGACCATAAAGCAGACAACAGCCGAAGGCCACCAATGGGTCTTCAATGCAGCGAGAAACTCCCGCACCCGGAGGCGTCCTTCAGCTGGCCCTAAACAAATATGTATACTAGTTCAGTGATAATGGACATCATACTAAACTCCAAATTATACACAAGAAACAAAAATTAAAAATGATACAAGACTAACAAAGGCCAGAGGCTCCTGACTTGGGACAGGCGCAAAAATGCGGCGGGGTTAAACATGTTTTTTGAGATCTCAACCCTCCCCCTATACCTCTAGCCAATGTAGAAAAAACAAATGTACAACAGTACGCACAGTAAAACTCAGTTTAAGAGAAGTCCAAGTCCGATGTCAGAATAGGAAACAAAAGAAAATAAACAAAAGGACAATAATACATAAATAACAACAGACTACTAGCAGTTACTGACATGCCAGCTCCAGACCTCAATTAAACTGATTGAAAGATTATGTCTTCATCATATGAATATCAGGCACAATCCCTCCTGTTAGGGGTTTAGTATTATACCATCATAAAATATATGAGAAGAACATAACCCGTGTCATGCCAACAACTGGTTTTAGAATAAATATGTTTAATTCCGATGCAAAGACCCTATAAGTGAATCAATATTACAGCCAAAATATGCAATCTTTAATGACCTGACAACAGTATCGTAACTATATCCCTTCTTAATAAGTCTGTTTAAAGGTTTTGTTAGCTTTTGAGGTGAATACTGACATTTTTGTGCTTTGTAAAGAATATTACCATAAAAGATTGGATGTGAAATACCCGAACGTATAAGATGTCTGCATGTTGAGTTATATTTACGAATGATGTCCTTATACCGATGATAAAATTTAGTAAATGTTTTGACTAGTTTATGATATCGAAAACCCTGGTGTAATAATTTTTCAGTAATACATAAATTTCTCTTGCTAAAATCTAATACGTTTTTACATACACAAGCGAATCGTACAAGTTGAGATATATAAACACCATAAGATGGTGACAAGGGAACGTCACCATCTAAAAATGGATAATTAACGATAGGAAATGAAAAATCATCTCTTTTATCATAAATTTTTGTATGACTTATGAACCACATCAATGAAAATTATAGAAAAATTTTGTTTAAGAAACTTTCTGTGCAATCAGTTCATTTGAGTCTTTGGCTTATTTTTATCTAATTCTTTTTGTGTATTCTGTTTGTTAGACCATTCAGTTAATGGTGACATGTTTCAGGTAGGGATAAAATATTAGGGATCAAAGTGGAAACATTTTTTTTTTATTTGATATAGAAAATAATTATTCATTATGTTTGAATGAGATTTGTTTTGCCAAGTTTTCAGTAATATGTCTGTGAATATATACCCTTTTCAACTTTCTGCAGGGATATAATGCATGGAATTTTCAAAATTAAATTATGGAACTAATTTGAAATTCTTTATTTTTAATTTTTCAGGAAACAGAGAAATTGGTCGTATTTTTGTTTGGAATTGTATCTCATCAGACAGCTGATATTTTATGGCATAGTCTTGGTATATCTCAGGGATTTCTAACCACAATGGGAGATGTAGGTATATTTTATTTATGTCAACAGTTCATTTGGGTTTTGAGTGCAATCCTATGAAAATAGTTCCAGGAACATGAGTTGAAAATTATTACATATGTTTTTTGGGGGAAGAAGACCTTAGTTTTCTAGATACTCATGTTTTATTTTTTTAATTTCGTCCTTTTGATTTACGTTAATTTTTATATTCCATCTTATGTAATTAGAAATTTTCTTTTACTGTAAGTGGATGTTTATAGTAGATTTGGTAGAATGCACGTGTTGATTAAATTTGAAAGTACAGTGACAATTCAGTCAGACTACTACTTGATCTTTTTTATATTTTATAAGAAAAAACTTTTACTGCTAAAATGAACAGCTCCAACGATGTATAAAGATACTATCATTATCATACATTTGGAGCTAGTTTGCAGACGCTACTCTCTTCATTGATAATTATATTTCTCTTATTGAAAGAGCGGCAAAGTTGTCTCTAGGCATTTTACCAACTGCAGGTTTTCGGTCTACCGTTTAAATTCAAAGACTGCCGATTTGTACACATGATTGGTTGCAAGTTTGTAAAATACCATTTGCATCATTTTATGAAACAAAGACAAAGAAACAAATGTACAGTAAGGTTTGTTTGTTTTCTAGATTCTCATGTTTTAATGTTTTAATTTCTTGTTTTTGATTTACGTTAATTTTTATATTCCATCTTACTTATCTTCAATCTTACGTAATTTGAAACTTTCTATTCACTGTAACAGGATGTTTTTAAAGTAGATTTGGTAGAACGCATGGGTTAATTAAATTTGAAAGTACAGTAACAATTCAGCCCGACTACTACATCCTATTTATTTTTTTTTAATCAACTTTTTACCGCTAAAATAGACAGCTCCAAGGATGTAAAAAGATACTATTATTATCATATATTTGGAGCTAGTTTACAGACACTGCTCTCTTTGATGATAATAATATTTCTCTAAGTTATAGAGTGGCCAAGTTGTCTCCAGGCAGAGTTGGTGTTCTCCCAAGTACATTTGGAATTCATAAAATTGGTTGCAATGTTTACTTGCTTCTAGCATCTTCATCAATTTAGCTGTTGTATTATTTTGTAGTTTTTTTATCTAAACCAGGCAAATGATTGAAGTTGTATGGTATATTTGCTTCACTTCAGGCAAATGATTGAAGTTGTATGGTATATTTGCTTCACTTCAGGCAAATGATTGAAGTTGTATGGTATATTTGCTTCACTTCAGGCAAATGATTGAAGTTGTATGGTATATTTGTCATGGTGTGTTATTTGGCTTATATTTGTGTTAGTGTTATTTTGGATAAAAAATATGTTTTATTTTTTAGAAAGAAAATATTAAGTTTGTATTTTGTAACATTTTTGATTAATTTTGGTTTAATTGATTTTTACCTATGCTGTGGCATTAATACTTGAAATGTCACAGTTTGCTCAAAGCACTTTGTTTTGAAATATTAATTGTAATTAGCATATGTCATTTTGAAAGTTTAAGATTTTATCAAAACATTATAGGATTAGGCTTTGTTAATTAAAGTCTATTTTTGCTAATGAGAGTAATATTTACATGTCGAGTATTATTGATCTATTTTTGGATTTAGTATAAATAGCGTTCTGAAATTTAGGAAAATCAGTCACCTTTCGGAAACCTTAACTTGCACTGCTAAAGTCTATTATACTGGATCTATAAGACTGTTGATCAGTCTACCAGTTGACTTTGTAGTGTTTAGACAAAAATGTATTTTTGACTCGCCTTTTATTTTTGAGAAAACTTTAGAAAACAGTCAGTGTTTCGGAACCGTAACCTCTCACTACTCACGTCATGATACTGGACCTATAAGACTGTCTACCAGTCTACCAGTTGACTGTGTAGTGTTGAGACAAAATTTATCTCTGACTCATAATTTAACTTTGGAAAATACTTTTAGGAATCTTTTATTTTTGAGACTTTTACATTTTGATTTTGAGATTAAGTTCATTTTATGATTTAGTAGTTTTGGCATTTATTTTACATTTTATATTGTAAGGAGAAATAGTTTTACTTTGGATTTGATATTTAGATTTGATACTTTGTAATTTAATTTGATTATTATTATTTGGCATTGTTTACTGATTGAATTGTTATCATCATTCCTCTAAATTGTTATTGTTAATTAAATTATGAAAACCTTCCTTGCGTTTTAGCTATGCCTATCAGAACATTAAGTCTAGCGATAGACTGACCCCCTGTCCCTTGGTTCGAGCACATACGAGTTAGCTCCCCCTTATCTAACAGTGCTCTGTGGGACCTTGGTGACATATTTGCTTCACTTCAGGCAAATGATTGAAGTTGTATGGTATATTTGCTTCACTTCAGGCAAATGATTGAAGTTGTATGGTATATTTGCTTCACTTCAGGCAAATGATTGAAGTTGTATGGTATATTTGCTTCACTTCAGGCAAATGATTGAAGTTGTATGGTATATTTGCTTCACTTCAGGCAAATGATTGAAGTTGTATGGTATATTTGCTTCACTTCAGGCAAATGATTGAAGTTGTATGGTATATTTGCTTCACTTAAGTTGAACATGCTGAGAGGCAATGTATAGAATTATAGAAAATTCATTTTCGATTCAATAGTATTCAGAGATTTTTATATTTAGCTTAATCTGTTTTGGAGACATGTGGCACAGAGTAGGCCTTCTTTCAAGTTATCTTTGTATGCATCTTCTCCCCCCTCAGAGCTATCAGCTCTTTGATATAATTGCTGTTGTAGACATATTTGGGCATAAATGTAGGCATAAATGACAATCAACAAAAAGTAATGAGTTACAAAATGTAGTTCAGTAATTGTCAGATATAAATTGGATGAAGAAATGCAGGAGAGTCCATTATATTGTAATATTATAAAGAGATATTATAAACTTTAGATAAATATATTTCCATGCTGAAATTGTTGCAATGAACATTCTATGGAATAAGAAAGCTATTAAATTGATTTAGATTATCTTTTTTTTTCAGATAAATTTCCATGGAGATTATACGTCTGCTCACCAATTTGGTGACCTTGGTAAGACATTTTCACTTTCATTTTATTTTTTTATCTGAAACTTGATTTTGGAAACATTTAGATGAAATGAGTAGACTTATTTCTAAACTGTAATATTTGTACCTGGTAATTGTTTTTAGTTTTAACTTTTGTGAAATGGAACTATTTTAAACAAATAACATTATTTATGAGATACTTTGATTGGCTAACACAAATTTAAAATCAAGAACTACTTACTAGTAATAATTCCAATGAGAAAGAGTGAAGTGAGTTTAAAGTACTATCAGTAATTGAATTATTCAGGCTCAAAACAGTGAAGGGATCAATTGTGCAAGTCAGTACCATTCTTGCTTGTTGAAATAAGAATCAAATTACCATCAGTGATATCTTTTTACCAATTTTTGGAAAATGACGCTATCAGCGGCATGTTTCCGATACCATTGACCAGAACTAACGGAAGTTGATTATGCCTCCGCCTACCGCACTCGGTTTCATATTTACTATTTTACATACTACGTAACTGGAATCTGCTTGGAATGACGCTACACTCGAACAAAGTGTTTTAGTCGTACGGAAACCAGTTTACATACGTTATTTTATTTACCAAAAAGATATCTTGACCTGTCCATATGTTTTTTGTTATTAAATGGTATTTGGAGCTATCCCTTTGTTATATTTTTCATATTTATTCGAGCTTTCACTTTTATGCACATGTCTTACAATCGTAAACAATCGGTATGTATGATAAATAGGTCCGTTTTGTTATGGTGTTGGACTTTTTACCCTCCAATGATCAGCAATCGCTAGACAAAATAGTTCTCCTAAATAATGTCAGCCTTTCATGCCATTTCAACTTTACAATCATTAAAAAAGTAATAATCGGAATCATTTTGATATCCATTTGTCTTTACCCAGATTTACGATTTTAATAATCGGAAATTAGTAATACGGTTATTCCCACGCGGTGCGTATGAATCTTTGTTTACAAAGTTATAGCAGCAGAGTCTGTAACTGTATCATTATTAATTAACTACACTATTTTTTTTAACTTTCTCTTTTCGTAGTAAGAAATCTGAGTTGACTCCCCTTTGCAAAGCAAATTTTATTTTAGCAGGCTTTCCTAATTAAGTAAAAATTGAAAACTACAATGTGCACTTCCAGGTGACTGGAACACCAATTTTTATTAAAAGGGCACCAACCAAGCCTGGGAAAATTTATTCATTATTTATTAATTCTTATGAATTAACTGCCACAGATATTGATGCACTTCAGTCTTTCTACTATATTCATGGGAGAAAAAACAGGATAACTTATTTTCAATTCAAATGAATATTGAATATAACTGACTCATCAAAGTAAGTAAATTCTTCATTTCTTCCCTAAACTGGAAAAACCTCAAAAGTTTTTTCCAATTTGAATGCAAAAGACATTTCCCAAAATTCACTGATAAAATCCTTATAGACCAAAAGATGACAATGTTAACAACTATAAATCACCATATGGCCTTCAAAAATGAGCAAAACTTATACTGTATATGTAGAAAGCTATAAAAAATTCATTCTGACTTCACAAACAAGTGGTTCCCCTTAATGTAAAATGTAAATACCATCATTAAATATATAATGTTCAGGATTTGATATAAAAATAAGGAGATGTGGTATGATTGCCAATGAGACAACTATCCACCAAAATTCAAATAAAGTGGATGTAAGCAATTTTAGACAACCGTATAGCCTTCAACAATGAGAAAAACCCATACCGTATAGTCAGCCTAATTTATAACAAAACAATTTATGAAAAACAAATATGACAGACATGAAACAACGACAACCACTGAACTACAGGCTCTTGACTTGGGACAGGCAATTCAAGAATGTGGCGGGGTCAAACATGTTTGTGGGTGCTCAACCCTCCCCCTATAAACCTGGGACAGTGGTTTAAAAGCACTAGATGAGAACAAACTATAAAAATCAGTTGAAAAAAGCTTAACTCATCAGATTGATACAAAGCAGAAAAAACATCAAACAAAAACACAAACCAGACATGGCAGGGAATTTATCCATCCCTCATCCCTGACAACTAATAAATAAAAATCATGTATCTAAGACTAAAATATCAATCAGCACACATCCAATGGATTTAGTGTAAAGACGTCGGAGAAAAACATGACCTTATGCAATGCCAAAATAAAGGTATCGACAGACTGTAGTACCGTTAAAGTCCATATGTGTATAACAATATTATTTAGTATGATTTTAATTTACTGATAACAAAATCAATAATTATACCAATAAAAACAATATTCAAAGATCTAATTACAGTGTTGAATTGGTAACCTTTTAGAATAAGTTTATTCAAAAGATTGATAAGTTTACCCGGAGTGTATATAAATATCCGGACTTTTTATTGAAACAACATCACTGTAAAATTTAGGATGTGCTATTCAGTCTGAAATAAGTTTTTTACAGGTACAGCCAAATTTGCAAACCAAATCTTAGTATCTATAGAAGAATTAAGTAAAGGTTTTAAGTTATATGTGGTAACTTAATAAATTTTTGATATTTGTTAGAACTTATTTTCATCAAAATAAATATATTCCATTATTGGAATCAAATAATGTCTGAAGAACAGAATACAAAGAATTTTGAATAATTTTTCAAGGGATTTTTGTTTTTACAACAAAATTTATCACAATGACATTGGCTTCTGAAGCTGTTTAGAAATATATACATTTATTATAAACCCTGCTTAGGCTTAATTACTATAAATATAAATATTTAAATGTTATAGGTGGTGAATTTGTGAGTCTTATAGACTTAGATGCTGATTTAGTAGTAGACCTTGAACAAAAATGGTAAGTAACATATCTCTGTGTAAAGATTAGAATTATGAAGTGTTTTAAAAAGACTGAAGATATCATGAGAAATTTTATAGGTTAAAGACCAAATTTGAATTTGTTACTTTATTGTTTTCTTTAATTTGGTCAATCATCCTTAAAATAAATAATTATCTTAATCTAGTATAAAGCAGGGTCATAATCAGGTCACATTAATATGTTGTCATCCCCAAATATATGTCAATTTTTGCCACTGGATGTTAAACACTAATCCATCATCATTATGACCTCTAGATGTGACCTCTAGATGGTAATTTTGATGATTTCTGTTCTTCTGTTTATATATCTTATTCCTCTACAAACATAAAAATAAACTTAATTGTTTAAGTAGGTATGATATTATTACTTAATAACTTTAAATGTCTATAAATTAATAAAAAGAAATTTTGATAAACTATCCCCTCATATTTACAGGTACATACCATCAAAAGATCTATTCAATATTTATAGAGAATTTTATGGAACAACAAAGATAACTCTATCTGATATAGAGACTTGTTCTTCATGGATTCTACTAGAAAGGTATAATTATTTGTATGAGCTATAACTTTACTTTTAATATTTTCTATTCTAACAATTAAGAAACATTGTTGAAGGGCAATAACAGACCAAATTTTGGTAGATATATGTACATTGCACATGTTGCGAGGACATTGGTATTTAGACCTTATTCAGCATCTTAATTTTGGAATTCTTTATAAACCTGTCTCTGGATCAGTGTAGTTATAATGGCAGATAGATGTATACTGACGGACTCTAAACGGCAACACACATTTTGGTGATTTTTTTTACCAAATCATGATTGATCCTCATATAACTATATTGATATTGATTCACTTATAGGGTCTTTGCATCTGCACTAAACACATTTATTTAAAAACCAGTTGTTGGCATGACACGGGTTATGTTCTTCTCATATATGTTATGATGGTATGATACTAAACCCCTAACGGGAAGGATTGTGCCTGATATTCATATGATGAAGACATAATCTTTCAATCAGTTTAATTGAAGTCTGGAGCTGGCATGTCAGTTAACTGCTAGTAGTCTGTTGTTATTTATGTATTATTGTCATTTTGTTTATTTTCTTTGGTTACATCTTCTGACATCAGACTCGGACTTCTCTTGAACTGAATTTTAATGTGCGTATTGTTATGCGTTTACTTTTCTACATTGGCTAGAGGTATAGGGGGAGGGTTGAGATCTCATAAACATGTTTAACCCCGCCGCATTTTTGCGCCTGTCCCAAGTCAGGAGCCTCTAGCCTTTGTTAGTCTTGTATTATTTTTAATTTTAGTTTCTTGTGTACAATTTGGAGTTTAGTATGGCGTTCATTATCACTGAACTAGTATATATATTTGTTTAGGGGCCAGCTGAAGGACGCCTCCGGGTGCGGGAATTTCTCGCTGCATTGAAGACCTGTTGGTGGCCTTCTGCTGTTGTCTGTTCTGTGGTCGGGTTGTTGTCTCTTTGACACATTCCCCATTTCCATTCTCAATTTTAATCATGCTTACCAAACTTCTTTCTATATAGAAAAAATCATTACCTGATTTACCTCAGGTAGTACAAATTTCTTAAAGCGATACTTAATTATTTATGCTTATAATTTTTATTAACAATGTATTTGCATTCAGGTATCACAGATCAAATTTATTCGTTCATTGTGTGTTAATTTGCGTTTTTTGATTGAGTTAAGCCTTCCAATTGATATTTTATAGTGTGTCTTTCTATGTTGTGATGTTTTACTATTGTTTCAGAAAAGGGAAAAGGTTTGGTACCATTAAAACGTTTAATCCCGCTGCAAATGTTTGCACCTGTCCTAAGTCAGGAATCTGATGTACAGTAGTTGTCGTCTGTTTATGTAGTTCATACGTGTTTCTCGTTTCTCCTTTTTATATAGATTAGACCGTTGGTTTTCCTGTTTGAATAGTTTTACACTAGTAATTTTTGGGGCCCTTTATAGCTTGCTGTTCGGTGTGAGCCAATGCTCCGTGTTGAAGGCCGTACCTTGACCTATAATGGTTTACTTTTATAAATTGTTACTTGGACGGAGAGTTGTCTCATTGGTTCTCATACCACATCTTCCTATATCTATTTGAAACCCTTAAATGATTTCTTTAAGGTTTTGTCCTTTGTGAACCGATTCTTTCAATCCATACCCACACTTAAATTAGTAAAAAAATGTTGCATTTCCTTATTGCCAAGACTGAGCAATGAAAATCTGAATCTGGCCATAAGAATATTGTAGGCAGGAATATATGAACCTGCTGTTGCTAGACAATTTCATGTAAGAAACTCCTCTTTCTGTCCTTACAACAACGGTACAGGCATACAGGATTTGTTAATTACCACCCATGACCAGATCAGTATATATAGTGACAGCGCCATGTCAATAAAATTTCATGCCATAAATGTTTCCCAAATACTGAAATGCTAAAGAATCGACTGCAGAAAAACGTTTAAAGCCCTAAAGTTTAAACTGCAAAATTGCCAAAACACACTGTAATGTATAGGACAGGGGTCAACTCAGAAGGTACTAAACAGAACTCAAAACATGCCCAACAGAACTGGTTGACTTTTCTGTCAATCGTTTAGGCATTGGTTACAGGTAGTGGTTGACTTCGACGGTGACAGATCCATTGATAAGGGGAAAACTCAGGTTTCAGTGCATACCACATGATTTGAACATTAGAAATTACATAATCAATTCAATTTTCGAACTGCAAAATATTTAAGACAATGAGGTTATGAACGAAATTTGTGTTTATACATTTATTTTACAAGAATTGCATTTTTGAAAATGAGAATTAAAAAGAATTATCTAGTGCTGCATTTTTAAAGTCAGTTAGTTTATTATTCTAAGGAAATAATTTTTCATTTGTGTATTTTTTGTAAAGTTTCTTGTATGCAAATTAATTTGAATGTTGGTACAATTTTCCTACTCAGGCTTAAATTAAAATATTGTTTGTTTGCAGTTTACCGACCGACCCTCGAAAATCCGCCCGACTGTGAAAATTTTATTGCTTTTAATTTGAAGAAATTATTTTTATTTTTCTGTTGACGCAATCCGGAACTTCTGGTCGTTTCCGGAATTGATTTAAAGTCTGGGTCGAATACATGTTTCAAGTTCGGTTTTTCTTACCTTCTTGTCAAGCATACATGGGACCGTTTAATAATAAAGCACATGGAGATTGTTTACAAGTATCGATGAAGACATGGGGGAGTACTTTGCGCTGTCGTTTTCTGTCAATTTTAAAACAAATAACAACCAAAAAAGTTTAATAGTAAACTGTTTATACAGATTCAGACAGATATCATTGACGATTTGAGAACGCATGATGCAGCGGATATTCATAAAACCGACACGATAAGGCTTAAATTAAAATATTGTTTGTTTGCAGTTTACCGACCGACCCTCGAAAATCCGCCCGACTTTGAAAATTTTATTGCTTTTAATTTGAAGAAATTATTTTTATTTTTCTATTGACGCAACCGGAACTTCTGGTCGTTTCCGGAATTGATTTAAAGTCTGGGTCGAATACACGTTTCAAGTTCGGTTTTTCTTACCTTCTTGTCAAGCGTACATGGGACCGTTTAATAATAAAGCACATGGAGATTGTTTACAAGTATCGATGAAGACATGGAGGAGTACTTTGCGCTGTTGTTTTCTGTCAATTTTAAAACAAATAACAACCAAAAAAATTTAATAGTAAACTGTTTATACAGATTCAGACAGATATCATTGACAATTTGAGAACGCATGATGCAGCGGATATTCATAAAACCGACACGATAACCGTTTCCATCTCAAACAGACCGGGTACAGAATCTCTTGAGCCGGACTTTATGGAACCAATATCAGTGGTTAAACAATTTGACAGCAGCCTGAAGTATGCCATTGTTTCTATAAAACGTTGTGAAGACAACAAGGATGAAACCACTTCTCCATGACTTCATGGATACCTGTAAACACGCCAGGAAGGGCGCATTTGAAATTAATAATCGATAGACAATGCCAAATCTATAAGAAGCCACAGAAACTACACAAAGATGTAAAGAAAATGAATGGTTGGCTTGTAAAAATAAATATACTTTCTCTATGTTAAATCTATCTTCTATTGCAATGAGTATGCTCCTTTAGGATAAGGGGAGCTACCCCACTCATTGCAATTCTTCTCCCTCTTACAATATTAAATATACCCAAACAGTGTGGCTTGTGTGAATTGAATTAAAACATGTCCTTAGGGGTATGCTGCCAATTTTTTATGCAGTCAAAACATTTCAGTACAGACCATTTACTTTTAAAAGGGTGCTATTGATTTCACCCTGAAGTCTAAGATTTTTTTTTGGTTTTAATTAAAGCCTGATCACATCAACATATCTTTCAAAATATAACCTTATTACATATAATTAAATATTGTTAGATTTATGAAAACAGTCAGATGTCAAATATATTTTTTCAAATTTCTTTTTTTTTTAATTGAGAAAGATTCAATGGTTAATTTTTTTTATTGATAACACTCTTTAAAACATTGTCTTATGAATCTTTGATATCTACATTTCCTAATGAAAATACTCGACTCATGAAAACTTTCTAGTAAATAAGCATATGTCAGTGAACAATTTCTTTAAAACAATTCTAGTCATTCCTTGTTTATAAGATCTTATAAGTGTTCCAGTACTAGTATTTAATAATGTCATAAATTGGATAATCACACCATGTTATAGTTTCAATTTTGGTTGAAAAGTTTTTATCTGAAAATGTCTGTTCATTTCATGTTGGTTTTCAGTGTTTGTTGTTATAAAATAAATTTCTTTACAAGAAACTTGGTTTGTGTAACTGCTTGTTTAAACTTCATTTTGGCTGATAAAATAAAATATTTTTCCTACCTACCGACCCTTCAGTCTGAAGGTACAGTCGGAAAACTGCAAACAAACATATTTTTAAGGTTGGCCTCACATCCCAAATGAAGGGTTTCCCCCATACAGAAATTATTATTAAAGAGAGTGGTGTTTGGGCAGTAAGCTGACCCACTAAGCTGATTTTAGATTAGTATTTAGCTCTGCTATGTATATATACAGTCTGTAACAATGGATAGGTGTAATATTTTAGGAATTAATACTATATTTCTGACTTTCCTTTAAATTCTATTGCAGTCTGCAGTGTAGAACATTTGTATGCCATTATAGACATTATATAAATAACACATAGCTGAGAGGGTGATAGAGCAGATTGTTGCCCCAAGAAAACATTGTTAACCACTGCGAAGCCAAGGTTGACAATGCCTTTATGTCTTTTCGAGGGGCGCACAAATGATCAAGCTTCTACGTGAAGGGTAATAGAGTATTTGCTATTGGATAGAGTAAATTGTCGCCCTCGTATTAACCAATCAGAATCCCGCATTTTAACATGAAGTGTAATAATATAAATTATTTATTTTAGTGTAGGAGCAGCACTTGCCAAATCTGAGGTATGTTGTATTTTAAAGCCATCTGTATAAGGAGAAGAAAAGTAGGAGGCATCTACAGAACTTTCTTAGAAATATATAACATATTATTTAACACAAGGAATTTTCAGATCAAGTTCTGATTTTCAAAAATATACAAGGATGAATACAAATTTACAATGAAATCTTATTTTTGGTTTTTGAATATGTAGTAACTATATCTAATGTGTAATGGCATTCTATATGAAGCAGTCTTATAAGGGAGGGAATTATGATCTTTTGTGGATATAAGAAATCAGAATTGATAAGAGACAATAGACTGAGAAGAATATTATTCCTTTAGGATATGGACAGATACAACTAACTGTAATTGTTTTGTTACATAATGGGTAAATGAAAGAGAATAGCTTATATATGTTGTATTCAGTAAAAAATTTTGTCAGATAAAATACTAGACTAAAATGAAATAGTGTCAATATGGTTTTTATCCAAACAGGGATAGAACTTATAAAATGTCACATGACAGGATGTAAACATATTGAGCAATATATTTTAATGATTTTGTAATGAAGTCTTTTGTTTACAGATATATTCAGGTGTTGTTGATAGAAGTCCATTTCTGGTACAAGAAATGGAGAATTATTTTCTTGGTGGAGTAAATGATATGGTTGGGTGGACACAGAGAAGTTGGAACAATGTAGTCACAATGCTGAACAAAGGAACTGAGTAATTATTATGAAGTTTGTCAAAATAAATCACCTTTCTTTATTTGCTTCCCTCTTTTATATCTTTAAAAGTAATAGATTGTATGTACTGGTGTTATGGTTAAATAATCTGTTATCTTTCAAATGAATTAGTTAACTGTAGGGTGTAATAATGACATAGACTGACGCCTCTCTGAGTGTAGCACCTCGTATGACTAATGGTTATGGCCTTACCACTGTTTGGGGAACCATTATTGATATTATACAAAAGGACAAGGTATGCTTTAGGCCAAATATTGCCTTGAATTTCATAAAATTTGAAAATAGCCATAATTTCTTAAGGTTTTTCAATGGATGTAGTTCAAAAGCCTTACTCCTTGGTTAAACAAGTCTCTTCATAAGAGAACATTCTAGGCTACAAAGTCAGCACATTTTGGATATAATGTCAAAATATGAGTATTTCATGCATTTTTTTACCTAAAAGCTCGAGGAACCCCATGGCTGCAACTTAGGATCCAAATTGTTCTGTAACTAAAAGTTACTAAAGAAGACATTGATTCCTTAGACACCAAACCTTTCTGGATCAGGGGTGGCATCCTAAGAAAATTAGTCTAAAAACTGATAAGAATTATTGTAAATTTGATGAAAACTGACGTTACAATACAAATGTCTATACCTAAGGGGTCATTACTTCATAATTTTTAATGTGGGGTGCCAAAAAGAGGTTATTTTGTATTAATAGTAATATCACAATTATTTTTACCCAGTATGTGAAATTTGTAGCATTTTGGCCTGATTTAAAAAAATCCTCAAAATCTTAGGGCCAATTTTAACCATTTGTGAACTTACTCCTTTTTTTCACCAATACAACACCAGTGAATCATTGGGGAATAAAAGCAAATTTCTTGTCTTTTTATTCTGACAAATGTTTCTCAATTTGAGATATAACTTAACATTTAAGAAAAGAGAAAATTTTGTTCACACACAAGGGCCAACAAGTATAATTTTCAAGGCAAAAGATACCATGGGGACATTCAAACTCATAAGTCCAAAAATAAACTGACAATGCTAGGACAAAAAAAAAAAAGAAAAAGACAAACAACAGTACACAAAACAAAAAATAGAAATCTAAAGACTGAACAACAAGAACCCTTCTAAAACCGGAGGTTATCTTAGGTGCTCCGGAAGGGCAAGCAGCATTCAAAACTGCGTGAACTGAATGTATTGATAGAAAATACCGTGAGGGCATTCCGGTGTATTGCTGTCGCCTAGATTTCCATTACGTAACTTTCGTGTTGGGATTGTAACCGATCTATAAACATGATAAATACACGGACATTATCGAGTGCAAAATAACATTACTTATCGCTTGTTATAAATTCATTTCTTAAATGAATACTCATAAAATATTTTTGTTTAGAACATAAATTAATAATATGAAAATGTTTTGTCGTTAGAAATATATATATAAGTAAAAAAAAATCATTGATAATATCTATGCACACGTACAGAAAAATTGTGTTAACGCATGCGGAAGAATATCTTAAGAATGTTTTGCGGGAAAATATGAATGCCTGCTCAAATCCAATCTATTAGAAAAATCATATTATTACAGAAGAGTGTCCACCATGCACTTGCACTGCACTATTATTAGAATAGTAAAATAGAATGTTTACAAATGGATGAAAATTATATTTTATACATGTAAATGTTGTATACAAATATCAATATAATATATAACAACAAACCAGAGTATACTGATTTGTATCACTACAATATAATAGTTATTACGGTGAAGTTGAATTTCCTGTCATTTATTCATTATCCATGCACGAACTTGTCTCAGAAAAAAATATATCTCTGTTCATTAACCTCACTTTCAGGTATACAGATGTGATTCTTTTTTCTGAGACAAGTGCTTGTGACCATCTACAAGAACTTGCGGTCATCCTATGTTCAGTACTTCAGTACTTTGATTGAAATTGGTGTCATTTTGACAGTACTTGGTTGTCAAGTTATTTTTAATTAACCATAATAACAATATATTAACTTATGTTATCATGAGTTTGGTGGACCTTTTACTTATGTTTCAATATTATATTTCAGTGTTTGCAACTTGCCATACAATCCATTATTTGTAACTTGTAACAAAAGTTCAACATTTAAGAATACCCATGAAGAGAAAATACAAAATGGTTATTTTGTAAATCATGGTAAACATGGACTTACACGGGAAGATTTCAACATCACAAAAACAGCCAGAGGGATAAATATTGAGTTAGGACAAAAGCTTAAGGTACAAATCATGGTAGTCAAACAAATAGAATAATTACCTTTTGTCATGATTGTTACTTTTACAGACACAACAACTGGAAATTTATGACTTCAACTTTCTGCAAATCCTGTACTTTTGGAAGGACAATATAAAGCATTATTTTCCTTTGATCAACTGAGGCTTAAATTAAAATATTGTTTGTTTGCAGTTTACCGACCGACCCTCGAAAATCCGCCCGACTGTGAAAATTTTATTGCTTTTAATTTGAAGAAATTATTTTTATTTTTCTATTGACGCAATCCGGAACTTCTGGTCGTTTCCGGAATTGATTTAAAGTCTGGGTCGAATACACGTTTCAAGTTCGGTTTTTCTTACCTTCTTGTCAAGCGTACATGGGACCGTTTAATAATAAAGCACATGGAGATTGTTTAAAAGTATCGATGAAGACATGGAGGAGTACTTTGCGCTGTCGTTTTCTGTCAATTTTAAAACAAATAACAACCAAAAAAGTTTAATAGTATACTGTTTATACAGATTCAGACAGATATCATTGACGATTTGAGAACGCATGATGCAGCGGATATTCATAAAACCGACAAGATAAGGCTTTAATTAAAATATTGTTTGTTTGCAGTTTACCGACCGACCCTCGAAAATCCGCCCGACTTTGAAAATTTTATTGCTTTTAATTTGAAGAAATTATTTTTATTTTTCTATTGACGCAACCGGAACTTCTGGTCGTTTCCGGAATTGATTTAAAGTTTGGGTCGAATACACGTTTCAAGTTCGGTTTTTCTTACCTTCTTGTCAAGCATACATGGGACCGTTTAATAATAAAGCACATGGAGATTGTTTACAAGTATCGATGAAGACATGGAGGAGTACTTTGCGCTGTTGTTTTCTGTCAATTTTAAAACAAATAACAACCAAAAAAATTTAATAGTAAACTGTTTATACAGATTCAGACAGATATCATTGACGATTTGAGAACGCATGATGCAGCGGATATTCATAAAACCGACACGATAACCGTTTCCATCTCAAACAGACCGGGTACAGAATCTCTTGAGCCGGACTTTATGGAACCAATATCAGTGGTTAAACAATTTGACAGCAGCCTGAAGTATGCCATTGTTTCTATAAAACGTTGTGAAGACAACAAGGATGAAACCACTTCTCCATGACTTCATGGATACCTGTAAACACACCAGGAAGGGCGCATTTGAAATTAATAATCGATAGACAATGCCAAATCTATAAGAAGCCACAGAAACTACACAAAGATGTAAAGAAAATGAATGGTTGGCTTGTAAAAATAAATATACTTTCTCTATGTTAAATCTATCTTCTATTGCAATGAGTATGCTCCTTTAGGATAAGGGGAGCTACCCCACTCATTGCAATTCTTCTCCCTCTTACAATATTAAATATACCCAAACAGTGTGGCTTGTGTGAATTGAATTAAAACATGTCCTTAGGGGTATGCTGCCAATTTTTTATGCAGTCAAAACATTTCAGTACAGACCATTTACTTTTAAAAGGGTGCTATTGATTTCACCCTGAAGTCTAAGATTTTTTTTTGGTTTTAATTAAAGCCTGATCACATCAACATATCTTTCAAAATATAACCTTATTACATATAATTAAATATTGTTAGATTTATGAAAACAGTCAGATGTCAAATATATTTTTTCAAATTTCTTTTTTTTTTAATTGAGAAAGATTCAATGGTTAATTTTTTTTATTGATAACACTCTTTAAAACATTGTCTTATGAATCTTTGATATCTACATTTCCTAATGAAAATACTCGACTCATGAAAACTTTCTAGTAAATAAGCATATGTCAGTGAACAATTTCTTTAAAACAATTCTAGTCATTCCTTGTTTATAAGATCTTATAACTGTTCCAGTACTAGTATTTAATAATGTCATAAATTGGATAATCACACCATGTTATAGTTTCAATTTTGGTTGAAAAGTTTTTATCTGAAAATGTCTGTTCATTTTATGTTGGTTTTCAGTGTTTGTTGTTAAAAAAAAAATTTCTTTACAAGAAACTTGGTTTGTGTAACTGCTTGTTTAAACTTCATTTTGGCTGATAAAATAAAATATTTTTCCTACCTACCGACCCTTCAGTCTGAAGGTACAGTCGGAAAACTGCAAACAAACATATTTTTAAGGTTGGCCTTATATAATTGCATTTAAAACAGGTGTAGATAGTTTGATATGAACACAAGAATAAAATTGTAACCACATCATGGGCAAGGCTGTGAGAAATACCTTAGATATCATTTTCATATTTTGTATTCAACAGAATGAATTACAGTGGAAATATAAAGAAATCAGCAAACTAAAAAGAAAACTTTTCACGGAAAGAAAAAAAGAATCAGAAAAAAAGAAATTGAATATACCAACTACAAAATTGATGGTAAATGGATCTTATGCCAGATTTGGATGGTATGTACAGTGTAAAAAATTTAAAAAAAGAGGAGGAAGATACTTAAAGGGACAATAAAAACTCATTAAGTTGGAAAGAGACAGACAAAAACATGACAAAAAATGAAAAATGAAGAAAAGACAAACAACAGTCTATGAAATACTACACAGAAAGCTCAGGATCTGAGATGCACAAACCCCCACCAAAAAACGCAGGGGGGGGGGGGGGGGGGGGGGGTCTCAGGTGTTTCAGAAGGGTAGGCAGATCCTGCTCCACATGTGACATTTGTTGTGCTGCTCATGGTAAGTACAAATTCAGTATTAATAATAAGTCTCAATCCATAAAGTCAAGGTCGAGGAAAAAAGGACAGGGTTGTGGCTACGACAAATTGACCATAAATGTGGTCCTCTGTGACAAAGATATGATCCATAACAGTTATTCAACTGATTATACGATCCGTAAAACGTAGGAAAGGATGGTATGAACTTATCTTTACTTAACTATGACTTCATCATAAATAAAAATGATCTAATGTCACCCTATCACATCACCACAATTTATGAAACAGTGCTTTCTATCAAAACATATAGGAAATGATTTAAAGGATAAGGCTTTGCATTATATCTTATTACTTTAACTTCTGATATACTTCTTCAGACTTACTTCAGGAGAGATATGAAAACAAAATAATTTGGTGTGAATGTTACATATATTTATCCTGCAATCAGCCAACTATTGTACAAATAACAGGTACACAAATAAATTTTTGCTTTATTTGTACTTGTACAAATAAAGTCTTCTGTTACCCCTCTTCCATGTTGAGCAAGCGGTAATGTGGATATTTCTTTTTGCGTACCAGTTCATTTTGGTGTCCTCTTCGCGGTCCGCGTTTAAACTATGTCGATTTCTTTGAAAAATTAGAGACAATGATTTAAATTTTAACAACTAAAGTTTCAAGTGTTGGGTGTAAATTTCAGGATAAAAACAATATATGTACATTGTCGGAAAATATAAAATGTATTTGTACTCGCTGCGAAACAGGAGAAAAGCTCGGCGAGCCTCGCTTTTCGTCCTGTTTCTAATATATATGTATTAGTTTAGTTGGTTTGTTGTTCCCAAGTATTTGTCTTTCTATATAATATAAGTTCATCTTTTTCATATGTATCAGCACAAATCTTTTAGTGTTCATTTTGGCTTGATTGTGTTGTAATGTCTGGATAATGTTTAAACCACAACTCCTGTTACTCATTTTGTGATCATATCAGATTTCATTGAAGTTAAATTTGATCAAGAGATTTATAAAATGATAACTACTAGAAAGATGTGTTAGGTACCTATGGTAACAGAAATATTAAAATGTGATTTAATTATAGGTCGATTTCATCAGGAGATGTGGATAATGATGGCTACAATGATGTTGTTATAGGATCTCCTGGTTACAGCCATGTGAACAACTGGCAGACAGGAAGAATATATATTGTCTATGGCAGTGGTAATTATTACTTTTTTTAATGGGACCTTTTCTCTCTTATCTTAAGGGCTATATGATCTATTGCCATAAATTGGCCTCTGTCGTCCACTGTGCATTATCTGTTGTCAATGGCAATCGTTGATTCCTTAAAGGGTTATTGCCTTAAAACAACTACTTTTTACCAAATGTTATCATTTGTATATGCCTGTTTACGGGACATATTATGGTATACCTTTGTCTGTTCTTTTATGTTTCAATGATCTTCTTTACCTCTGAAACTTGTTTAATAACCAATTTAGACCAATTTTGCACGTGATTGATCCTGTTTATATTGTAGTAAATGAATTATAATACTATCTATCAACCAGCATGGCCACCATATCCTAGCAATCAAGCATTGGAGTTAAAATGCAAATAATTGTTTCATATCTTGAAAACTAGGATTTATAGAGAAAATCTGACAGGGATAAAATGCTTGCAAAATAGCTGTTAATCCATAAAAATTGTCAGATTCCTTATTGGAGGTAAAGCCCTCAAAATGATTTTTATGCCGCCACCGTAGCTGACGGGGCATTAAGTGTTACCCTTGTCCGATCTGTCAGTCCGTCCAGTCCGTTGCGTACTTCCCCAAAATTGGTTTCCGTTCTCTAACTTTAGTTTGCCTCAACCAAACACAATGCTTATTACCCCAAAACACAGATCAAGTTCGAAATTGTGTGTCATCACTTTTACCTTTCATGAGTTATGCCCTTTATAAACATAAAAATTGCTGAATTTTTCGTTTCCGTTCTCTAACTTTAGTTTGCCTCAACCAAATGTTATTAAACTTATACACAATGCTTATTACCACAAAACACAGATGAAGTTTATAATTGGGTGGCGTCACTTTTACCGTTCTTGAGTTATAAGGAGCTGCTGAACCAACGCCTCCTATGTTTTGTGCTGGTAGAGTTCCCTTAAGTGGATACCAGATGATATGCAGGGTTGTCAGATAAAAAATATTAAATACCGCTAAATTGACAACAACACTTAAGTAAACTGCATCTTTTATTGGTCGACATGTTTCGCCGATTAGATCGGCGAATTCAGGACAAAGTATACAAAATGAGCATCCCTGAAGTACAAAAAAATGGAAACATGTCGAACAATAAAAGATGCAGTTCACTTAAGTGTTGTTGTCAATTTAGCGGTTCTTATGTATGTGGAAATTTACTCATGCATATTTACACATTCTGCATTTATTTTAGCATTTGTAGGTATTATTTACAAAAGAGTAGTGGAAAGGGAGAAACTAAAAAATTGACTTGGAGGATTTTGTAGATAGTTTTTTTTTTAATCTTGATTTTTACATAAATAGTAATATGGCATTTTTTGTTTACGGATAAGCAATTCCTGCTCATTACCTCCTCTTGTTTTTAACAATCTATTTGAAAAAACTGAACACACTGAAAGCAAAAGCCTCAAGCATTGTTACCTAAAATCATACATTTCATTTTATAGTAATAGTGCAAAAAACACCTACATGAATAAAAGAAATCAAGAAAAACAAATTTAATAACATGTCATTTGTAGCTCTGTTGAAGGTGTAATACCACCATTGATTTTCCCCTATTAGTCTTTGTTAAATTTGCACTTTTCAAAAAATTGTGCAGAATTTATCTTTGTTTCAAATAAAGAAATACTTGGCATGAGTAAAGTTTCATCCTGTCCAGTACTATAGAAAATTATCTTTGTTTCAAATAAAGAAATACTTGGCATGAGTAAAGTTTCATCCTGTCCAGTACTATAGAAAAAATTTCACATAACATTTCATTGCATATAAGAAAATAAGCATCACTGGAAGCTAACCAAAATATTCTATAGAAACCCCAAATAAAAAAATAATGGTGCTTTGAAATACCCAAGATATATGTTTATGACCCAGAAATGTTTTACTGCAATGAAATGTAGGATCAATTACCTACAACTGTCAAATTCAAGGGAATATTTTTTTTTTGACCTATTTTCGTATGCAACCGGATGTGACGTACTATGATTTGGTGGTATTACACCTGAATATGTGAACACATATGTGGTCCATATGTTGACGGAGGCCTACTGTCTATCAAGGCTACAGTATGTTACGTATGTTAGCATCCCTTGGTCCTGCATGCCAAAATTAAGGAAGAGAAAATGTCAATAGTAAAGTGTTTTTTTTCTTCAGGAGATGGTAAACTTTAGGGCTTGATCCTACCTAGCCACCCAAACAACTCTGCCTTGTGATCACATATGTTAGCTTAATGTTTAACAGTTAGCATTAGCAAGAATATATTTCATTTGCATTTCCTGAAAATGTTTTAGCATTGCTAGAGTTAAAATTCATTCATTAACAGAGTCAGGGTCCACATTTCTTGTACAATAAATAAAGAACATTACAGTTTTAAAAAGTCATATGTTATTTCTTGTGACATTTTTTGAAAATGAGAACCTTTCCCTGTTGCTTTTAATTTATGAATTTTTCTATTTATAGAGTCCAGAACAGATTTGTTTAATACAGAAGTTATCAATTTGGATGATCAAAAACTGGAGCAGCTAAATGTCACCTTTATAGAGGGTGCTGACAAGGTTAGTAATATTCATACCTGCCAAATACTGGCATCCTGATTTATGGCTGATATCTCCCATGAGAGGTGTTGACATAAATTTTGAAATTCTTTATTATATAAACTGAACACCTCAGTACAGGCATTCAAATGAGTTAAAAGGGTATTTAAGCACATATATACTCATTCAAACAATAAACAAATAAATTAAAAAAACACTTATGACAATATAAGAGGACCAGCATTAGGTCCTCTTGCACTTAAAATCCCCCATGGAGATTTTGAAAAGTTGGCAGGTATGAATTTTTGATTTTATCTTTTAGTTTTAAGCAAGAAAAGCATTGATTAATATCTGAACTGGTATAAAGGGGTGTTCAACATATATGAACATGTTAGATTGAAGGTGTTTCTCCATTCGTATTCTTTATTCACTTTTATTTGATTAACTACTGATACTGCTCACCATGCTTTTAACTTTCTACAGACATTAACCATGTATTTTGATGATCCAAATTGATAGCTTAGTTTAAACAAATTTCTTCTGGACTCTATAAATAGAAAACTTATAAATTAGTTTATTCGACCAAATTGGAAGAATTAAGGATGTTCGCTCCACTTGTTTTTGAATTTTTGCCAGATATTGGGAATCCTCTGGTTTTATCTCTGTAGTGCCATTAAAAAATTTTGCCTGCTTACCCCTACTTTTCTTTACATATAGTTTAAAAAGCCATATGTGAAAATCTTATAAAATCCTTGTGATTTTTTCATAGTTTTCGAAAGAAAGAAGGTGCCAATGTTAAATGTATGAAAAATTTAGAGAGAATTTTTTCCCGCCAAATTTTCAATGGCTTATATCTCGAAAACAAGCAAACGGACCTTTTATTTTTTTCTGCCTTTTTAGTTCCTTTATTCATATACTATCAATTTGTAACATACTTTTAAAAAGTTTGTTATTTTGAAACAGATTAGCGAACATCCTTAAAGGACATTTCATGTTATTTTCAGCTTGACATTTAGCAGCTATTAGTCAATCAATCATTTTACTTTTTTTCTTGATTGAAAAATAAAGATATAATTGCATATATTTCATTATATAATTGTAAGATTATGCTTGATTTTATTAATGTTTTTGTTAAACTTTAGTTATATGTCTTCTGATAATGTAACATACATTTTCATTTCTTATAAAAGAATTGTCTAAATTGAGGGCTTTGATAATGTATTATATAATTGTCATGACTTGATAGGATGGTAGTAATACAAGTTTAGAAATTGTTATTTTGAAAGATTGCAAGCAACATGTGATTTTGTACAAAGACATTTTTGATAAATCTTTTGGTTTGCAAACAGATTTGTCTTGTTTATTAGATGAAACATATTATAGAATTGCCTTGACTATGTGAACATACATAGCGATTTTCAAAATTTGTTAGACTATATTGGTTTTAAAAGAGGCAGAAGATACCAGAGGGACAATCAAAACTCATATAAAGTAGAGACCAACAAAACTCATATAAAGTAGAAGAGAGACCAACAAAACTCATATAAAGTAGAAGAGAGACCAACAAAACTCATATAAAGTAGAGACCAACAAAACTCATATAAAGAAGAGACCAATAAAACTCATATAAAGTAGAGACTAACAAAACTCATATAAAGTAGAGACCAACAAAACTCATTTAAAGTAGAGACCAACAAAACTCATATAAAGTAGAGACCAACAAAACTCATTTAAAGTAGAGACCAACAAAACTCATATAAAGTTGAAGAGAGACCAACAAAACTCATATAAAGTAGAGACCAACAAAACTCATATAAAGTAGAGACCAACAAAACTCATATAAAGTAGAGACCAACATATAAAGTAGAGACCAACAAAACTCATATAAAGTAGAGACCAACAAAACTCATATAAAGTAGAGACCAACATATAAAGTAGAGACCAACAAAACTCATATAAAGTAGAGACCAACAAAACTCATATAAAGTAGAGACCAACAAAACTCATTTAAAGTAGAGACCAACAAAACTCATATCAAGTAGAGACCAACAAAACTCATATAAAGTAGAGACCAACAAAACTCATATAAAGTAGAAGAGAGACCAACAAAACTCATATGAAGTAGAGACCAACAAAACTCATATAAAGTAGAGACCAACAAAACTCATATAAAGTAGAAGAGAGACCAACAAAACTCATATAAAGTAGAGACCAACAAAACTCATTTAAAGTAGAGACCAACAAAACTCATATAAAGTAGAGACCAACAAAACTCATATAAAGTAGAAGAGAGACTAACAAAACTCATATAAAGTAGAGACCAACAAAACTCATATAAAGTTGAAGAGAGACCAACAAAACTCATATAAAGTAGAGACCAACAAAACTCATATAAAGTAGAAGAGAGACCAACAAAACTCATATAAAGTAGAGACTAACAAAACTCATATAAAGTAGAAGAGAGACCAACAAAACTCATATAAGTAGAAGAGAGACCAACAAAACTCATATAAAGTAGAGACCAACAAAACTCATATAAAGTAGAAGAGAGACCAACAAAACTCATATAAAGTAGAAGAGAAACAAAACTCATATAAAGTATAGACCAACAAAACTCATATAAAGTAGAGACCAACAAAACTCATATAAAGTAGAAGAGAGACCAACAAAACTCATATAAAGTAGAGACCAACAAAACTCATATAAAGTAGAGACCGACAAAACTCATATAAAGTAGAAGAGAGACCAACAAAACTCATATAAAGTAGAGACCAACAAAACTCATATAAAGTAGAGACCAACAAAACTCATATAAAGTAGAGACCAACATAACTCATATAAAGTAGAAGAGAGACCAACAAAACTCATATAAAGTAGAGACCAACAAAACTCATATAAAGTAGAGACCAACATAACTCACATAAAGTAGAAGAGAGACCAACAAAACTCATATAAAGTAGAGACCAAAAAAACTCATATAAAGTAGAGACCAACATAACTCATATAAAGTATAGACCAACAAAACTCATATAAAGTAGAAGAGAGACCAACAAAACTCATATAAAGTAGAGACCAACAAAACTCATATAAAGTAGAAGAGAGACCAACAAAACTCATATAAAGTAGAGACCAACAAAACTCATATAAAGTAGAGACCAACATAACTCATATAAAGTAGAAGAGAGACCAACAAAACTCATATAAAGTAGAGACCAACAAAACTCATATAAAGTAGAAGAGAGACCAACAAAACTCATATAAAGTAGAGACCAACATAACTCATATAAAGTAGAGACCAACAAAACTCATATAAAGTAGAAGAGAGACCAACAAAACTCATATAAAGTAGAGACCAACATAACTCTTATAAAGTAGAGACCAACAAAACTCATATAAAGTAGAAGAGAGACCAACAAAACAATGGCAAAATACAAAAAACACTACAGAGAAAACTTAATGCTGAGCAACACAAACCCCACCAAAAACATACCAGAGGTGATCTCAGGTGCTCTGGAAGGGCAAACAGATCCTCACATGTGCAAAACATTGCTATAACATGTTTAAATGATTATTATTTTTTACAGAAATACTGTTATAAAACATTATCTGTGTTAATATTAATATTCCAACCTTAAATTTTTGAACAGAACTTTTCTCTGTTGTAACAGGTTGTTTAGTTTAAGAGACTGAAGCAGTGTTTATATATATACACAGTGTTTTCCAAGTTGAATTATACTTGTAGAAACAGTCCAGATTTGGCACCAGTGTAACTGCATTAGATATTAATTTAGACGGAGTTGATGATATTGTTGTAAGCAGTCCATCTTTTTGGAACAATAGTCCCTTGGATTATAATGTAAGTTTTTGTTAAGTCTTAGATGTGTGTAGTTTTTAGCTTACATGCCGTTAGACCAAAAAGTTAGTGTGAGCTCATGCCATATGATAATTTGTCTAAGTATTATGTTGTCTGTTGTCTATCATATTGTCAAAAAGTTGTCTTATCAGAAACCCCCGGGCCAATTTTGACTTTAGGCCTTAAGTGGTATACTTTAAAAATCATGTCTTGATGACTTCATCTGTATTCATGGCTGTTGCCATTACTAAAGATTTGATAAAAATTCAACAGAAGAAATATTCAAAGTTATCTCTTCTGATAACTATGGACCATACTTGGTCTGCATCATCCTATATTGGATATATGCTTTAAAAGTAATATGTGATGAACCTGTGGTCAAATTAAGGTGGCCAATTTTGCTTAAAATGTGGGACAACCCTTTACACCTTACAAGCTAGTTCAGACCATCAGCTCTAATTATTTTAAAGACTACCCGATAAATGTTACCAAACTTTACATAGGGTTAAATTTAAATTAAATAGTTTTTGATAAAACCCTGGAAGTGAGCAATTCAGAAATGCCCCTTTTGGATTTGTGATTATGGCCTCAATTTCCTTCAACCTTGCGACTACTGTAACAAACAAAAAAAAACACCCCGAAAATGGACAAAAAGTACTATATAGAAAAAAATAATTATACTACCAAGCAAATTCACACTGCTACTTCAAGTAGAAAGTTGGATCCCACCACCACCACCACCCCTAAATATAGAAAATCATTTGGCAGTTTGATTAATACCAGAACTTTGGTCAAACATTTTTGCTTATCCTCTTTAAGAGGATTATGATTGAAGACTCCACCCACCTACAAACATAGCTGCAACTTTAACCAAAAATTAAAGATTTGACAAAAATTTAATTAAAAAAATTCTTAAGTTCCAGAATACCTACCCATGTTTGGTTAAATGATACATCTATGGCTACAATTCATTACAGTCAGCTTTAAAAAGGGTATTGTAACAGAAATCAGAAAAGCACCATAATGTTTAACAAGTAAAATGAGATATCATTACTTTAGCAATATTCTCAGCACTCACCATAGAGAGAAGAAAAAAAAGTATCACAAAATACATAAATCCAAGGCAAAGTCAAAAGGGGAAGTCCATAAAGACCAACAATATCAAACATTATCAACCAACAGAATTAGTGAAAAACAAGTGTCATATTCCTGATTGATTGTTTTGACTTCTCATAGATTGTAAATGGCAAAGGAGAAGACAATCCAGTATTAGTCTATAGACTTTAAGTTAAATAGGTTTGACCTCTCATTGATTGTAAATGGCAAAGGAGAAGACAATCCAGTATTAGTCTGTAGACTTTAAGTTAAATAGGTTTGACCTCTCATTGATTGTAAATGGCAAAGGAGAAGACAATCCAGTATTAGTCTGTAGACTTTAAGTTAAATAGGTTTGACCTCTCATAGATTGTAAATGGCAAAGGAGAAGACAATCCAGTATTAGTCTGTAGACTTTAAGTTAAATAGGTTTGACCTCTCATTTATGTTTTCCTTTTATACTTATTTTTACTAGATGTAAAAAAGATTCTGATATTATAATACATTAACTGTTTACTATCTGACTTTCAAACTACAACTTCATCATTTGTTTTTGGCAGGGGTTGGTATCAGTGTATCTGGGACAGTTGAACAAGAGACAGTATAGTAAACCAGATATTGTCATTACTTGTAAGGTAGAGTCACATGTTTTCTGTTATTGACCAGTAATTACATTTAGCTGCTTTAGGAATGAAATCAGATATATTTAAGATTCCTACTTCAAATAAGTTGTTAGCTATTTGAAAAGAAATTGCAACTTGTTTGAAGTCCTTATTCAACTGTTTTGTTATCAAAAAGACGCAGGTTTGCAAAATCTGTAAGGCTATTCATAATGTGATGCAGACCTCATTAAGAGGTGCATTCCTTTTTCATGCAGACAGCAAATTATGAGCAATAACTGACATACAATTAGAAAAAACTTACATACAATTAGAAAAAACTTACATACAATTAGAAAAAAACATGAAACTTCATCTAGACAACCAGAATTTAGCTTGTGAAGAAACACATTAAAGTCTGCTTGTATTATACTTGAATTTTAAATGAAAATATTGTTTTGTTGGCAAAGTATATAGAAGTTATTTTATACTTTGTTGGAGTCAACAGTATTTTTTTTTATTTTACAAATGAAATATAACAGTATGCAACTTAAAAAAATTCAGAATATATTATAATTTTCCAAATTATAAAGTGTTAACTCCTTTACTATAATATAGTAATTAAAACATACAGTTGATTTCTTTTTAAATAGTACTGAAAATCATATTCAAAGATTCTGGTACTGAGAATTATAGCTTTGAACCTTTAAGACCTTTCAGTGTATGACTAATCTGTGGAAATTATTTTTAGGTAAAATATTGTAACCTAGGTTATAGTTTAAACAAAGCAGACGTAAACAATGATGGATTTCAAGATCTACTTATTGGTTCACCCTATTATACAGCTGGGTATGAACAGATGGGCATTATTGCTGTACTAATGGCTTCCAAAAACATTAAAGGTGTCTTTTATGTTACAGTTTATATTAGCCTGCATCCATTTTTATTTTTTGCGGTCATATATTGGTATGACGTTGGTGTCGTCGTCGTACAAGTAAGCATTTTTCTAGTTTCATGACAATAACTTGTGGAACAGTGTATGGATCTCTCTGAAATTATACCACAAGTTTCCATACCACAAAGGGATGGTTAGGATTGGCTTTGGGGGGTTATGGCTCAAACTGTTTAGGAATTAGGGGCAAAAAAGTGAGAAAAAAACAAGGGTGTCCTGGTTAATGGACTATTACTTAAGTACACATTACAGTGTAAGGGAGGTAATTCAAAAACTACTTTGAATTACCTCCATTACACTGCTTTTAAATTATGTATAAAGAATTTTTGTATTGTCTTGAGGTGATTAGCTGTCAGTTCATTTTTAGAAGTTACTATTTTAATAATTTTAGAAATGCTGATTAAGGTAAATTAATTTAAGCTATGATTATGTATGTCAATTTCTATTTTAAGACTTTTATGATGTATTTAAATGGGTTATTATGGTTGCAAACTCCATTGGAAATTTGAACAATTTGAATTAAAATTATGACCATGACTGAGGGAAAGAATTTGTTTTTGGAAAAAGATGGGGGGAGGTTAAAAAAAAAGTAGGGGGGAACAATTTTTTCTCAAGATTTCAGAAATCAAAAAGAAAATCCTTCAATTTTTTTTTTTAAAGGGGGGGGGGGGGGGGGGGGCAATCGCAACAGCATAGTGAATTGCACAAAAGCAAAAAATTGAATATAAATTCAAATTATATAACCAATTCTAAGTTCTTTGACTACAGTTATTCTGTGTCAGAAACCTATTATGTGTCAAATATTGAATACCAATCCAAATTCAGACCTGTATCAAGCGCGAATATTGTGTCCATTTTTGCCCCAACTGTTCAGGGTTGGACCTCTGCGGTCGTTTCCAGCTGCGCTCGGCGAAGCAATTTATTTTCTATTGAAGCATTCTTGATTTTTTTTGGACAAAAGTTATTTACTCACCTGCACCAAAGGTCTATGTGAAAAAAGGTATAGCAAAATACTGACCTCCCAAGTAAATTCAAAAAGGGAAAGTCCATAAAAACTGACAAAATCAAATGTTATCAACCAACAAAATGAGTGAAAAACATCTGTCATATTCCTGACTTGGAACAAGCACTTTTTCGAAGAAAATGATGGATTAAACCTGGTTATATATCTAGTTAAACCTCCCACTTGTATGACAGTTGTTTATAGTTTCAATCTACTGTATTTAGCCATGTATAGTACGCAGTAGTGTATAATACGCACCCCCTTTTCATCCCTCCAAAATCGTGAACAAAAATTAAAAAAAACAAAAAAGTTAAAAAAATTGAAAAAGTAAAAAGTAAAAAAAAAAGAAAAAAAAAGAAAGGTTAAAAAAGAACATTAAAATTTAAAAAAAAAAAAAAGGAAATAAAATAAAATTTTTTTTTAAAGTCTAGTTCACTGTAAAAAGACGGTATCATTGTTATATTATCATGAACCATTGACATGAATTGGCATCTGTCATTGTTGTATGTGGCTGTTAACATTTTAAAAGAAAGGACTGAATGGATTGGGTCTAAACTTGTCAACAGCCATCATTGCGGTAATTGATTTCAATTTTACTTTATATCTCAAAAACTAAGGCAGTTTAAGTAAAACTGACATAGGGTTAAAATGATCAGAAGTTCAAGACAAATTAGGTTGGATTTATTGTCCCTGAAATGTCAAATGACCCTAATCAACAATCAAGTTTTTAAGGAGTTATTGGCCTTGAATGACATGCCTATTTATAATTTTTCCTGAATTGTTGTGAAAAATATTCTAGACTAGTATTCTTAGTGAAAATTATGTAAATAAGGCTTCATTGAAATATAATTTACTGGTCCCTGAATAAATTCACCTAAAATATTTCAAGAACATATGAAGGGAAATGAAATCAAACAGCAATGTTCTTTAGAAGGTACTTACTAAGCATTGCAACTCTGAACCTGATGAAAAGTCCAATATGACCCCTAGGGGCCTAAAAGGAAGGAGTATTCTTTCCTGGTGAGTGATTCAGACTCCTGGAAGCTTTAATTGTTTGGTGTCATGTATTTGATGGAAGACCAGAATTTAATTTCCTGTAGGTGATGAGTTTAAAATATGAGAGCAAACATTTTTGCTTGTATATCAATATGATTTCCAGGTTATGACTTGTCTTGATTGACTTATCATGATGAAATTTCAAGATAATTTCTTTGACTCAAAACAAAAATTAGAATTAGTTTTAAGGACCACCACAACCAGAAATGATAAATACACATTTTTAATGTGGATGTTAATTGTTTTGATTAGCAGTATAAATATTGTCAGTCTATTAAACCTGTCAAATATGACATTTGTTTGTATTGTCCAAACAACAGTAGGGACAAACAGCTTAATTTTAAACTTCTATTTTTTTTTAGATTTAGATGCATTTTATTGATATAAATTCTTTAATAAAACATCCTCAGTTTTTATGTATTTTGAGTTTTAAATGCTCAGAATTACATTGCATTTTTTGGAAAATTATTTTGAAATAAGGAATATATCTCCCTCATGTAAAGCTCTGCTTCCTTGCCGGACTTTGGCTATACATTTGTCTATTTAGGGTTATATGCTCTTAATATTTTTTTAATACAATTTGGATTTTCAAATATTTTGGCCTCGAGCATCACTGAAGAAACATTTATTGTCGAAATGCGTATCTGGTGCAGAAAAATTGGTACTGTTTATGTTATTGCATGGCAGCTTCTTTTTTCTGTAATAAAAGAGCCTAATAAACAAAAATTTCTGGTAGATTTTTTAGTTGTTCAATATAAAATATAAAATATACCTCTTTTCTTCTATCTGATTTAGATATGATAACTTGAGTTGTATTTGTATAAGTTTTCTGTAAACTGACCATAAATTTTCAATACTATTTATATTATAATTAGGGATATTGGAAGCAATAGAAGCAATGGTTAACTTTGTGTGACTATATCATATTATCAGTATAACTTTTAACTAAACTGCAAATTAACCCTGGTAATTATATTACTTTGTAGCCAAAAGCTTCTTTGAATTTGAAAAACTACAGACAAAACTGTTACCAGAAAAGCAGGTATGTACTTTTGTCTCCTCAATTAATTTTGAGGGAGGCGAGACATAGACATTACTTTTTCCTAGTGGTGATGCTGTCTCATGATGTTTGATTTTCTAATTAGGTCACTTTCAGAATTAGTTTCTAAAGATACTTGGTAGACAGTTGCATCATCATCCTTGCATCTTAATAGCCATTATAGGTGCAGTTTATTAGGCTTGCTTCAATTAAATGTTAATTTTTCTAATAAGGTGCATTTTAAAACAAGTAATTATGTTGTACTAATGCTTAATTATTTTTCAGTGACGTTGGTAGTATTTAGTCATGTTCCACTAAATATGAAGTAATTAAGAATCAAGAATTTGTGTTAAGAAATTTATGAATTTCATTTTATTTATTGAATTAAATGATTTGATTATAATTCATAATAAATAGTGAGATTGATTGTCTAAGATTTATTGAAAATGTTTTTCTGCATAACCCAAACTTTGTCTGTACAATACTGTTATGTATCTTACATAGAGTCATTTGAATACACCATTTGTTTTGTTATGTATCTTACATAGAGTCATTTGAATACACCATTTGTTTTGTTATGTATCGTACATAGAGTCATTTGAATACACCATTTGTTTTGTTATGTATCTTACATAGAGTCATTTGAATACACCATTTGTTTTGTTATGTATCTTACATAGAGTCATTTGAATACACCATTTGTCTGTACAATACTGTTATGTATCTTACATAGAGTCATTTGAATACACCATTTGTGTGTACAATACTGTTATGTATCTTACATAGAGTCATTTGAATACACCATTTGTTTTGTTATGTATCTTACATAGAGTCATTTGAATACACCATTTGTTTAGTTATGTATCTTACATATAGTCATTTGAAGACACCATTAATTTGTTTAGTTATGTATCTTACATATAGTCATTTGAAGACACCATTTGTTTTGTTATGTATCTTACATAGAGTCATTTGAAGACACCATTTGTTTTGTTATGTATCTTACATAGAGTCATTTGAATACACCATTTGTTTTGTTATGTATCTTACATAGAGTCATTTGAATACACCATTTGTTTTGTTATGTATCGTACATAGAGTCATTTGAATACACCATTTGTTTTGTTATGTATCTTACATAGAGTCATTTGAATACACCATTTGTTTTGTTATGTATCTTACATAGAGTCATTTGAATACACCATTTGTCTGTACAATACTGTTATGTATCTTACATAGAGTCATTTGAATACACCATTTGTGTGTACAATACTGTTATGTATCTTACATAGAGTCATTTGAATACACCATTTGTTTTGTTATGTATCTTACATAGAGTCATTTGAATACACCATTTGTTTAGTTATGTATCTTACATATAGTCATTTGAAGACACCATTAATTTGTTTAGTTATGTATCTTACATATAGTCATTTGAAGACACCATTTGTTTTGTTATGTTTCTTACATAGAGTCATTTGAAGACACCATTTGTTTTGTTATGTATCTTACATAGAGTCATTTGAAGACACCATTTGTTTTGTTATGTATCTTACATAGAGTCATTTGAAGACACCATTTGTTTTGTTATGTATCTTACATAGAGTCATTTGAAGACACCATTTGTTTTGTTATGTATCTTACATAGAGTCATTTGAATACACCATTTGTTTTGTTATGTATCTTACATAGAGTCATTTGAAGACACCATTTGTTTTGTTATGTATCTTACATAGAGTCATTTGAAGACACCATTTGTTTTGTTATGTATCTTACATAGAGTCATTTGAAGACACCATTTGTTTAGTTATGTATCTTACATAGAGTCATTTGAAGACACCATTTGTTTTGTTATGTATCTTACATAGAGTCATTTGAAGACACCATTTGTTTTGTTATGTATCTTACATAGAGTCATTTGAATACACCATTTGTTTTGTTATGTATCTTACATAGAGTCATTTGAAGACACCATTTGTTTTGTTATGTATCTTACATAGAGTCATTTGAAGACACCATTTGTTTTGTTATGTATCTTACATAGAGTCATTTGAAGACACCATTTGTTTTGGTTGTTAGATCACCAAAGATATCATATTGGCATAATTAACTAACTTTAAGAGAACAGGCCGAAAATTACAAAATAAGGAAACATAATTCAGGGACACTTTTTTAATAAGACTTTAATCTTTTTGCTATAAATATCTGCTAGTTCAATCAGCTTACTTTATTTATTGCAAATATTCTGCTATGAAAAAGAAATCTTATTACCCGGTAAATAAGTTGCTTTGGTAATTGACTTATCTTGTTTTTTAGCAACCTTATGCCTGGTTTGGACATAGCATTATGTCTAAAGGAAATATAGTAATGGTCAATTCACCTAATTACAGAAAGTGTTTCTTGTAAGTTTTAAAAATTGCTTAGAATATTATTATATGGAGAATAAGTTTTATAATGGAGAACAGGTATGAGAAATAATAAAACATTCTGAATTAAAATGAACAACATAACGAAATACTATTACAACATGTCTTAAGTTTCATAGGAAGATAAAGGATATACATTGCATTACAGATGTTGGGTTTACCTTAATGAGACAGCAAACCAACAACAAAAAAAATCACAATACATCATAGTTTACAGATTTGCATTCAAAAAGGGATCTGGTCATCAGAATGAAAAAGAAAAGAAAAGGTGAAGCAAATAAATTGAAAGATACATTATGTTCACAAGATCACACAATTGTAATTTAACACTATATAATAAACAACTTTATAATAAGATATTGAAACTGGTCTGATCAGAAAGGTTTATTATTCAAAACACCACCAAGTAATGCAGGTTCAAATGTGATGTTGGGTTTGTTAAATTTTTATTTCTTCTATTTCAGATCAAATTGTTCCTACTCTAAGAATGATATACAGGTCATTGGACAATCTCACATCTTCAGTTTTGACCAGAAACAACCAAATTTAACCCTAACGGGAAGCTCACTTTATCAGTCAACAGGCTACAGCGTTGATATAGGATTTCCTTATGATAAAGAGAACTTAGTTATTGCCTACAGTATACCTGGCAATGATGTTAATGGTAGATTTAACATTTTTACTGAAGACATTTATAGAGCAGGCAGTGTTGTATTAGTGAATTACAAAATTAATGAAGGAAATATTTTAGCTCAGTTTGATGGCAATAGGAAATATGCCAGATTTGGACAAGCTGTTAAGGTTTGTAGTCATTATGATTAAAAAGAGAAATACTGTGAATTCATTATTATTCTTAGGATACCAATTTTCATCTACAAAATTTGGTACCCACGAAAATAAATGAATCCACAGTAGTCTTAATGTGACTAAAAAAAAAACTTTGTATTCTAATTAATATTATTTGTTAAATTTCAGGGCAATTTCAAATGTTCACCAACAAAATAGGTTATTGAGTATAATTTCAATAAATGGAATTTCCGTAAAATTTTCTTTCCATCATCTTTCAATATTAGTATTTGATAAATCTCAACTGATTACAGTGAGTAAAGTGTTTATCATAATTTGTATGAAGTCACCAGTGATGAAACCATAGTTCATATAAAACAGACAGAAAAAAATTCAAATAGCTTTGTTTTCATCTTATTTTTGTCTCGCCTGCAACTAGAGTCGCAGTATGCGAGACACAGGTATTACTATCTGGTGGCCGTGGCGGCGTAAACTATTTGTATAAAGCTTTATATTTCAGAAGGTAGAAGACCTGGATGCTTCATATCTAGTATGCAGATACCTTATGTTACGAAGTTTCCGTCTGTCATATGTCCAATGTCCTTGACCTCATTTTCATGGTTCAACGACTGCTTGAAAAAATATTTGAGTTTTTTGTCATGTGAATTTCTCACTTATTACATTATGAGTAATAGGATAACCATATATGGTATATCGGTTCCTTGCAACGTCTACATGTCCGTCAGACTGGGTTCACCTGACCTCGACCTCATTTCATGGATCAGTGATCAAGGTTAAAGTTACGTGATTACGTTTGTTTTTGTCTCGCCTTGACAGAGTCAAAAAACGAGACACAGGTATGCTGTTTCCAGCGGCAGTGGCATCAACAATGTATTAGTTTGTGATTAGGTCTAGTTTATGGTGAAACATTAGTGGTAGGTCAATGATATTTAGTATGCAGTTGTATTAGCATTGGCACATCTCATTTCCATGGAGATTATTTGGCCCTGCCCCCTCAGTCATGGTCTATTGACTTTGAAACTTTTGCTGAGTTTACATGTATTAGTTTGTGATTAGGTCAGTTTATGGGGAACCACTAGAGGTAGGTCAATGATATTTGGTATGCAGTTGTATAAGCATTGGCATATCTCATTTCCATGGAGATTATTTGGCTTCGCCCCATCAGTCATGGTCTATTGACTTTGAAACTTTTGTTTAGTTTACATGTATTAGTTTGTGATTAGGTCAGTTCAAGGGAAACCATTAGTGGTAGACCAATGTTAATTGGTATACAGGTGTATAAGCATTAGCACATCTCATTTCCATGATGAATATTTGGCCCAGCCCCCTCAGTCATGGTCTATTGACTTTGAAACTTTTGCTTAGTTTACATGTATTAGTTTGTGATTAGATCAGTTTAAATTGAACCGCTTATGTTAATTTATTGATATTTGGTATGCAAATTTATTGGCAGTTGCAAGTCTCATTTCCATGTAGAGTATTTAGCCCCACCCCCTCATAATGGCTCATTGACTTTGAAACTTTTACATAGTTTACAAGTTAATGTTTGTTTAAAGGGAACAACTTATGATAAGTCAATGATATTTGGTATGCAGTGGTATTGGAATTGGCACATCTCATTTCCATGGAGATTGTTTAGCCATGTACCTTTAGTCATTCAAAAATATGCATTAACAAAATTACAAAAAGGTGAGACATATCTCTATGTTAACAGTTTATTCAAATACTATAAGCACCAGGTCAATTATACGTGGTGTATGGAATGACTGTAATGGTATATGTCAGTCATGCAGGTTTCATCTAACCTTGACCTCATTTTCATGGTTCATTAGTCAATTTTTGTGTTTTGGTCTGTTTTTCAAGTACTATAAGCAATAGGTCAACTATATTTGGTGTATGGAAGGATTGTAAGGTGAACATGTCTGTCTGGCAGGTATCATCTGACCTTTACCTCATTTTCATGGTTCATAGGTCAATGTTAAGTTTTTTTTGTTTTGGTCTGTTTTTATACGCCTGTTTACGGGACGTATTATGGTATACCGTTGACCGTCTGTCCGTCCTTCCGTCGTCAACATGTCGGACATTAATTCAAAAACGCTTTAACCAATATGCATGAAACCTTGGTGAATTGTTTATATCTATTGACGTGAGCTCCCTTTCGTTTTTTATAAATTTCAGATTTACCATTTTCGAGTTTTGGGGTTTTATTCATTAAAAAAGGGGGGATTTTCCAGTTTTTGGACAATTACTCAAAAACAATTTCACCAATTTGCATGAAACTTTGTGTGAATTGTTCATATCTATTGATGTGAGCTTCCTTTCGTTTTTTATAAATTTTGGATTAACCGTTTCCGAGTTTTAGGGTTTTATTCATTATAAAAGGGGGGATTTTCCAGTGTTCAGACAATAACTCTAAAACAATTTCACCTATTTGCAAGAAACTTTGGTGAATTGTTTATTTCTATCAACATGAGCTCCCTTTTGATTTTTATAAATTTCAGACCATACGTTTCCGATTTATGGGGTTTTATTCATTACAAAAAGGGGGATTTTCCAGTTATCGGACAATAACTCAAAAATGCTTATGAAACTTTGGTAAATTGTTTATATCTATTTTTGTAAGCTTCCTTTTGATTTTTATAAATTTTCGATTTTACGTTTCCGAGTTATAAGATTTTATTTGTTTATAGTCTGACAACAGATTTATTCAATTATCATAAGCAATAGGTCAAAAATATTTTGTGTATAAAAAAATTGTAAGGTGTATATGTCTGTCTGACAGCATTTATCTGACCTGAGTTTCTGTGATGCTTTTAGTTAAACCTTTATCTTTAAGACTTTCAACATAAAATCAATGGTCAGTAAGCAGGCGAGACATTTCAGCATGTGCACTCTTGTTTCAAATAACTAAAACTAAAATTACGGTAGGTGTTTTTCATCCAAGTTTATCAATCCCAGTTACCTCATGATTATACCAAACTTGTTCACATTAAGAAGCTGTACTATAATTGTATGATTGTATTTTGATACTTATTTGGGAGCACATATACTACCTATTGTATAAACTTATTCAATGATTTTCTAATCTTTTCTTTCAGTTTTGTGACTTGAACGGTGACGGTTTTGATGATTTGATAATAAGTGAGCCTAATCGAATAAAAGATAGAACTGAATGGCAGTATATCAGTAAGTTCTCTCAATTATCTTCAAAAGTTTCATTACCACTGAAGAAATATATTATATTAAAAGGAAGCATATATGCAGGACAAACAACACCATGGTCAAGTGAAAAAGACAATCAATAGAACTGGTACATTTAAAACTTAAGAGCAACATAAACCCCAATGAAAAATAGGGGTGAAATCATTTGCTTTATAAGGGTAACCAACTGTTGGTACATTAGTTGCACTTTTTATGTTGTTCATGACAGGGAACATCCAATGATAAGTCCTTTTTTGGTGACAAGTCATGAACAAGGAAATGACAAAATTGTGGCTAGGACAAATCAAGTGCCATCTAAGTGGTACTGGTATATATAAAGCTTTTGATGAGATGACTTCAACTTTATGATTAAAATATTTCTTGTTTTACTCTTGATCACTAAGAGTACACACTTGTTTCAATAACAGTAAAGTTGACCCATTAGCCCAGAAGTAATCAAGTTATGTATATCTCTTTTAGAAAATGGAAGAATTTATGTGTTTTATGGAGGTAACCAGATGCCAATAGGAAAAGCCACATTTTCCACAGCATGTGACCAAGAACAGCCATGTCCATCAAATGTGGTAAGAAGACTTATTTAATAATGATGTGTTTTGTATATATGATAGATGTTGATACAATATGTAAATTTCTATTTTTAAAAATTGAAGCTAGCACATTTAATTGGATTTACATCACAAAAATAATTCTGAAGTATTGTGGTAGGTAAAGTTATGGACTATATTGTTCTAAATACCTTAGTACAGAGTAATATACCGGTATTATATCAATGCCTATGATAACAACTGTCATAATATTTAATGGAATGACACATTGTGTGCGATCAACAGACACAAATATTCTTTTAAAATTAAATGCAAATAAACTAAACTAAAATAAAAATATGTGCTTCACAAACAAAGATTTTTTTGCTTCATTTCATCAGTTTGTTCATTTATAATATTCTTTAAGATTATATAGATATAGGAAGATGTGGTATGAGTGCCAATGAGACAACTCTCCGTCCAAGTAACAATTTATAAAAGTAAACCATTATAGGTCAAGGTACGGCCTTCAACACGGAGCATTGGCTCACACCGAACAGCAAGCTATAAAGGGCCCCAAAAATTACTAGTGTAAAACCATTCAAACAGGAAAACAAACGGTCTAATCTATATAAAAACGAGAAACGAGAAACACGTATGAACTACATAAACAAGACGACAACTACTGTACATCAGATTCCTGACTTAGGACAGGTGCAAACATTTGCAGCGGGATTAAATGTTTTAATGGTACCAAACCTTCTCCCTTTTCTGAAACAATAGTATAACATCACAACATAGTATGTATTTTATTTAAGATTACATGTATGTATTTTATTTTTAAAATTACATGTATGTATTTTATTTAGAATTACATGTATGTATTTTATTTAAAATTACATGTATTTATTTTAGGCAAACTTTACATCAGACTCTTTAAATGAGCACAGTAATAATGGATATTTTGTTTATAATGTTTCTGACAAGCATGGTGTAAGTATTGGTTGGAATGTTTCTATTAAATCTATCAAATTAATAGTATATCATATTGACTATGTTTGGCCATTTATAGTAATGGTAAATCTTGGCTTGGTGGGAAAGGAAAAGAGAATACCTGTTTGTGTAATCAATTTCTTCTGCAGTTCTCAACCCAGGGACTTCAAACTTATTAGAATGCTTGTATTTATATTGAAATTGTGCACCTCTGTTGGCAGAAGTGTTGCAGATTTCCAGATAGCCATACAGGGTCTATCTTTTTTAGTAAATGTTAATACCTGATATTTTACTTCTAGAATCATAAAATCAATTAGAGTGCCTCATATACATAGAATGAATTCTTTACTTCAGTTTAATTTATCATGATTTCTCTTTTGGCTTTATTTTATGGATGTATGTGTATAACTATATTTTTATGTTAATCTTCCATGTATATTTATATTCATCTGATATAACTGTGCCACTATTGATTTGTATGTTTATCTTCTAGGTTTATTTATATTCATCTGATGTAGCTTCTGACGCAGGATTTTATAATCATGGAGCAGGAAGACGATCTGGTGTGGTTTGGAGATATTATTTCAAACATTAATTGTAAAGCAGTAATTCAAGGATGAAGATCACACCGCCTCATCATCAGAGTAAACACAAACATGTAATAGATCCCACATCTGATTTGAAGATTGATTTACATTGAAATTACTGCTGTTATGTACTGCGAAACTTGTCTCATAATAGAATCATCATGGCTCTCTGTCATAAAACTTTACTCAGAACTCAGTACAAACTTTGTGCTTGAAACACCAAATCCAGTATTTTGATTGGCTGAGTCAGAGAATTGTACTCAAAATTTGTATAACCACAAGGATGGACATACCACACAAGTTTGACTCTACCTAAGCATCTAGCCTATCCAGGTTACATCATGTTTTTGTAATGGGCAACGAAACAAATTCTTCATCAGTTGAGATTGTTTCTGATAAACAAGAGATATTCAGGACTTCTCTCACAGGAATTGTCTCTCTTTGAGATTTTTTTTTATTTTACTCAGTATCCTTATGAAATATTGACCAGTATTACAAGCTTTTCCATATTAAGAAAGTAAAATTTTACTTTATGGAATTATGTTATTTGTATAATTAAAATATATATGTTTATTCTAGGAATAGCATAAACAATTTTACATATTTAAGATGGACAATTTTATTTGTCTTTGTAATAGCTGGGTTGCATTAAATGCTAATCAGACTGATAGTATGGTGATTTTTTAAATGTTGAACAAGCTTCCATTTGGAAAATTTGTGTTATTTTTATCTAATATGTCATAGAGACTAAATGGGTGACTTGTCAACTAGCACGATGAAAATCAAGCTCAGTCTGTAGGTCTAGTACAAAGCAGGGTTCATATTCATATCACATTCATTTGATCTTGTTCTGAATATGCATTTAATTTGCCACTGGAATCTAAGCAGTCATTAGTTTAAACAAATTTAATGTTGAAATATAAAAACATGACAAAAGGATAGGACACAAGTTATACAACTTTGAATTGTCATCTACATTACAAAGATATAATTACTTTTTACTCACAATAAGATCTTAATTGACTAGATTGACTGTTTTCCTGCTGAAGGTTGGCTGGTTTTTAGCATAAAGATTGCATGAAATGCAATCAAAACCCTATGGTACTGACTTGATATCTATATCTTCCAAGTTTTATCACTACCTTTGATAGTTCAAACAAAATAGTGCAGTAAAAGTGATCATTATTTAGATCCAATCCAGTCAAAGTTATGCAATTTATTGATGATATGTAATACTTTGATATTTAAGCTACAATATGATGTGTATTTGAAGTACCATATTTGTCAAGAAAATATTACTTAAAATTACATAAGTAATGCATGGTGTATGAATCTGTTATAAAAATAGGTTCAAATACAAATGTACAATCATGAACAAAGGAAGATAACTCAAACTCCACTAAATATGAAGTAATTAAGAATCAAGAATTTGTGTTAAGAAATTTATGAATTTCATTTTATTTATTGAATTAAATGATTTGATTATAATTCATAATAAATAGTGAGATTGATTGTCTAAGATTTATTGAAAATGTTTTTCTGCATAACCCAAACTTTGTCTGTACAATACTGTTATGTATCTTACATAGAGTCATTTGAATACACCATTTGTTTTGTTATGTATCTTACATAGAGTCATTTGAATACACCATTTGTTTTGTTATGTATCGTACATAGAGTCATTTGAATACACCATTTGTTTTGTTATGTATCTTACATAGAGTCATTTGAATACACCATTTGTTTTGTTATGTATCTTACATAGAGTCATTTGAATACACCATTTGTCTGTACAATACTGTTATGTATCTTACATAGAGTCATTTGAATACACCATTTGTGTGTACAATACTGTTATGTATCTTACATAGAGTCATTTGAATACACCATTTGTTTTGTTATGTATCTTACATAGAGTCATTTGAATACACCATTTGTTTAGTTATGTATCTAACATATAGTCATTTGAAGACACCATTAATTTGTTTAGTTATGTATCTTACATATAGTCATTTGAAGACACCATTTGTTTTGTTATGTATCTTACATAGAGTCATTTGAAGACACCATTTGTTTTGTTATGTATCTTACATAGAGTCATTTGAATACACCATTTGTTTTGTTATGTATCTTACATAGAGTCATTTGAATACACCATTTGTTTTGTTATGTATCGTACATAGAGTCATTTGAATACACCATTTGTTTTGTTATGTATCTTACATAGAGTCATTTGAATACACCATTTGTTTTGTTATGTATCTTACATAGAGTCATTTGAATACACCATTTGTCTGTACAATACTGTTATGTATCTTACATAGAGTCATTTGAATACACCATTTGTGTGTACAATACTGTTATGTATCTTACATAGAGTCATTTGAATACACCATTTGTTTTGTTATGTATCTTACATAGAGTCATTTGAATACACCATTTGTTTAGTTATGTATCTTACATATAGTCATTTGAAGACACCATTAATTTGTTTAGTTATGTATCTTACATATAGTCATTTGAAGACACCATTTGTTTTGTTATGTTTCTTACATAGAGTCATTTGAAGACACCATTTGTTTTGTTATGTATCTTACATAGAGTCATTTGAAGACACCATTTGTTTTGTTATGTATCTTACATAGAGTCATTTGAAGACACCATTTGTTTTGTTATGTATCTTACATAGAGTCATTTGAAGACACCATTTGTTTTGTTATGTATCTTACATAGAGTCATTTGAATACACCATTTGTTTTGTTATGTATCTTACATAGAGTCATTTGAAGACACCATTTGTTTTGTTATGTATCTTACATAGAGTCATTTGAAGACACCATTTGTTTTGTTATGTATCTTACATAGAGTCATTTGAAGACACCATTTGTTTAGTTATGTATCTTACATAGAGTCATTTGAAGACACCATTTGTTTAGTTATGTATCTTACATAGAGTCATTTGAAGACACCATTTGTTTTGTTATGTATCTTACATAGAGTCATTTGAATACACCATTTGTTTTGTTATGTATCTTACATAGAGTCATTTGAAGACACCATTTGTTTTGTTATGTATCTTACATAGAGTCATTTGAAGACACCATTTGTTTTGGTTGTTAGATCACCAAAGATATCATATTGGCATAATTAACTAACTTTAAGAGAACAGGCCGAAAATTACAAAATAAGGAAACATAATTCAGGGACACTTTTTTAATAAGACTTTAATCTTTTTGCTATAAATATCTGCTAGTTCAATCAGCTTACTTTATTTATTGCAAATATTCTGCTATGAAAAAGAAATCTTATTACCCGGTAAATAAGTTGCTTTGGTAATTGACTTATCTTGTTTTTTAGCAACCTTATGCCTGGTTTGGACATAGCATTATGTCTAAAGGAAATATAGTAATGGTCAATTCACCTAATTACAGAAAGTGTTTCTTGTAAGTTTTAAAAATTGCTTAGAATATTATTATATGGAGAATAAGTTTTATAATGGAGAACAGGTATGAGAAATAATAAAACATTCTGAATTAAAATGAACAACATAACGAAATACTATTACAACATGTCTTAAGTTTCATAGGAAGATAAAGGATATACATTGCATTACAGATGTTGGGTTTACCTTAATGAGACAGCAAACCAACAACAAAAAAAATCACAATACATCATAGTTTACAGATTTGCATTCAAAAAGGGATCTGGTCATCAGAATGAAAAAGAAAAGAAAAGGTGAAGCAAATAAATTGAAAGATACATTATGTTCACAAGATCACACAATTGTAATTTAACACTATATAATAAACAACTTTATAATAAGATATTGAAACTGGTCTGATCAGAAAGGTTTATTATTCAAAACACCACCAAGTAATGCAGGTTCAAATGTGATGTTGGGTTTGTTAAATTTTTATTTCTTCTATTTCAGATCAAATTGTTCCTACTCTAAGAATGATATACAGGTCATTGGACAATCTCACATCTTCAGTTTTGACCAGAAACAACCAAATTTAACCCTAACGGGAAGCTCACTTTATCAGTCAACAGGCTACAGCGTTGATATAGGATTTCCTTATGATAAAGAGAACTTAGTTATTGCCTACAGTATACCTGGCAATGATGTTAATGGTAGATTTAACATTTTTACTGAAGACATTTATAGAGCAGGCAGTGTTGTATTAGTGAATTACAAAATTAATGAAGGAAATATTTTAGCTCAGTTTGATGGCAATAGGAAATATGCCAGATTTGGACAAGCTGTTAAGGTTTGTAGTCATTATGATTAAAAAGAGAAATACTGTGAATTCATTATTATTCTTAGGATACCAATTTTCATCTACAAAATTTGGTACCCACGAAAATAAATGAATCCACAGTAGTCTTAATGTGACTAAAAAAAAAACTTTGTAT